TGGCCTGTGTCAAGGATGGCGGAGAGAGCGTCTTATTAATCCCTTTAAAGACCCCTTCGTTCCTGTTCTTCCATAAGTTCCATATAGCTACGCTGAAAAAGGAGTTCCAAGGGATATCATCCACCATTTTTCCTTCTTCCATCAGCAGATTAGCAGCAATCCAAGGCTCCAACTGCATACTGAAAAACTCGTGCTGCCGTTCACCTGGGACTGTGCGAGTCCAAAGGAAGGCTGCCGGGGGACAATCCTGAAGAATGTGAATCGGTGTTTCCACCTGTGAAGAGCACCTGTAACAAAAAGCTAAAGGAGAAAGATGTCTCTTGACCCTCTGTTCGTTGCAACTGATCCTGCTATGTTCCACCAACCACATAAAGCATCGCACCCTTTCTGGCACCTGTAACTTCCACAAAGCTTTCCACATTTTGGACTGGTCACTGGTAGTCGCGGGTTGCAGGAGCTGGAATGCACTTTTGGTAGAGAAGTGGCCATCTGAAGTCGGTCTCCAAAACAACACGTCATCTTCGCTTGCAAGAGGGTCGACCGCCAGCGCAGTGATTCGGTTAGTTACGTCGGCTGAAAGGATGGTGTTGAACCTCTCTATGATCCAGGCTCCTTCATCATCTACAAACTCGATGATCGCGGCCTGTTTATCCTCCTCCGGAATTGGTCCGGTGGCCACTTCCTGCAAGGGTACCTGCGAGATCCAAACATCAGACTAAAAACGGGTAAGGTTTCCTTTGTGAATATTCCAATCACAACCCTTTCTCAGCAACTCTCCGGTTCTGGAGATGCTGTTCCAGGTGAAGGAACTTCCCTTTATAGGCTTCAAGAGGTCGAGGTTAGCTCTGTCTTTCCCATATTTGGAGCGCATGAGCTGGGTCCACAAGGTATCCTTCTCCGTCAAGAGCCGCCATCCGCATTTGGCTAGCATGGCCAGATTTACTTCCCTGGTCGGACGGATCCCCAGACCTCCCACTTCTTTCGGTTGCGTTAGCTGTGGCCATCCTACTAGATGAAGTCTTCTCTTGTCTTCTGAATCCCCCCACAGGAATTCGCGGTTGACTCGATCGAGTGCCTTACACACCGTCTTTGGCAGCAGCTCCACCTGCATAGGGTAAATAGGAATCGAGGCTGCCACTGATTTGATAAGGGTAATACGAGCTGCGATTGAGAGATGCTTAGCTTTCCAAGGGGCTAGTTTCCTCTGAATCTTGAGAATAAGGTCCTGGTATCTGCCTTGCGTCACTCTGCCATGTATAGCCATAACTCCCAAGTATCTGCCAAGGTCTACTGTGAGAGGAATCTCCATTCTTGCGCTGAGGGCTCGAGATCTCCGTCTAGAGATGTTTGCAGAGACGAACATTGCTGATTTGTGAAAGTTCACCTTCTGGCCCGAGCTGTTGCAGAATTCGTCGAGACATTGCTTTATTATCCTAACCTGCGAGCTCCCTACTTCTGCAAATAACACAAGATCATCTGCAAAAAAGAGGTGGGAGAGACCTGGCCCATCACTTGACAATTTTAGGGGTTTCCAAAGCTTGTCCTGGATAGCCTGGTCAATCCTGTGAGATAGACGTTCCATACACAATACAAAAAGATAAGGGGAGAGAGGGTCTCCCTAGCGAACTCCTCTGGACGGGGTGATGGGTGGAGAGAGATCTCCGTTCCAGAGAATGCGCATCCTGTTGTTTTCCACGCAGTACATAATGCAATTGATCCAGGAGCTGGGGAGGCCGATTTCCTTGAGAGTATCTCGCAAGAACTCCCAACGAAGTCGGTCATACGCTTTCTCCAGATCAATCTTCATCACCACTCCTCCTTTCTTCCCCTTTTTCTTCCTGAGGGTGTGGAGGACTTCTTGCAGGACGATGATGTTATCTGTGGTTTGTCTTTCAGGTATGAAACTGCTCTGCCGGGGGGATATCAATTTTCTCATGATAGGCTTCAGCCGGTTTGCAATCGTCTTGGTAATAGCTTTCAGGCAGACGTTATTCAGACTGATCGGTCTGAGTTGAGACGCCATCTCCGGGTGCTCCACTTTGGGGATGAGTACAACTGTCGAGTTGGTGATGTCCGCCGGTAGCCCTCCTGCATTAAAAAAATCCATAGCCATATTGATTAAAGACCTTCCCACTACCTGCCATTCTCTCTGATAGAAAGCAGCATGGAAGCCGTTAGGGCCAGGGGCTTGGAAGGGCTTCATCTCGTGAATTGCACGATGGATGTCTTCTTCTCTAAAGGGTCTCAGAAGGATAGTAAGATCCTCTTGGTTAATACGAGGGGAGGCCATTTTCAGCACCAAATCCTCATAGTTATCATTATTATGCACAAACAAAGAAGCAACAGAATTAAAAACCATTGCCGCCAACTCCTGGTAATCGCTTATCCATTCTCCGTTGGGGCCCTTAAGGCTATCAATTTTGTTTTTGCGACGGCGAATTATTGCTTGCTGTTGGAAGTAACCAGTATTCCGCTCCCCCTGCTGGACCCAACATTAATTGGGGTCAACCCATTAAAAGTAAAAAAATTATCAAAATAAAATATTTCTATTGAATAGAAGTAGTGTTAGCACCATGCTGATGTTAGCACAATAACCTCGATATTTAAAAATAATGATTTATAATTACTCTCGGCGTTGATAAATATTAATTATATTACAATAATTGATTTTAGTTATTAATTGTTGAATTTGTAAATGAATTATGTAGTTAGTTTGTTGTTTTGATACATGAAGGTAGATTTTTGCTAGCTATGACGTAGGCTAGGGTTTAAGTTCATATGTTAAGATTAAAATTCATATGCCAAATTTGGATGTAATTGTGTATCTCAAATCGTGAAAGTGATTAGCTCCACTGTTATCTATCCCAACGGTGGAGATCGATCGGTCCCTAAAAAGGTTTTAGCGACGGATTTAAAGCTTCTGCGACTCTTCTTGTGGTCTCTGGAAAACATATAACTTCTGCTTACTCGATCACTTGACCAGTACCATAGTACTGCATTTATTAGAAATCCAGAAACTAAAACCGTATACATCGGTACATATTAAGTATTCTCCCCCGCTGTTCTTTCATAGTAATAATTATTCCCTTACACCGTAAAAACCCATGCTCGAACCGATAGAAAATGTCACGTCAAACTCTTATTCTCTTACACGAACGCCACACGTTCTTTTCATCAGCAACTCTCAAACTCATAACTTACCATAACACGATTGTAATAACTATTGTCGGAACCGTTTTTATCGAGTTTGCTGAAAGTATCGCGATCCAGTTCGAGCCCCTCGACCGCAAGCGTGTGAGCGATTCGCACCTTCACTTGATGATGATTAGCATCGACTCCTCCTCCAGCTCCAGCAGCCGTCACCTACATGTACACATTTGCACACACACATATATATGTGTTGTTTTTTTAGTGAATCAAATACCATCACCACGGCGAGCACGAATGAGAGAGAGACTTTTACCTTGAGGCATCGGCCGCAAATAGTAGCAGTAGTAGTAATATTACCACCACCGAGAGCAGCCCAAGGAAACCTCCGACGGGCATTCAGCGAGAGGCGAGAGAGGGAAGGAGCACATGACAAAACCTCCGACGACGAAGCATTTACGTTGTTGGGCTTGCGATGGCCAACAACGCCGCCATCGATTTCACGATCCAAGTAGTGCTTCCTGCCTGCGAGGACTTGTAGTACTGGTGCAGCTGCTCCTCCTAGTCCAGCAACACTTTGTGTTTGATCTGCGGGACTACAATAGTACTGGCAGTTGGCCGGGGAGCAACCCAGCGTACTGCAGTAATTGTCATTACCGCAGCAGGTGCCGATGTCGCACAGGGTCCATCCGCCGTCGCTTCTTTGCCCGCAGTACTGGCCGGAAGACGGTCCAGCATTCAGCACATGTACAGCCACCACCACTACTATTGTTATTGCTACTTTCGTAGTTAATAACCTCTCCATGATCAACTTGTTTCTTCTTCTTCTTTTGTGAATTGTAGGATAGAGATAATGGGAAAGGCCGGGATGGGTTGATGTGGCTACAAACAATGGATGCATGAACGTATTTATACTCGTACGATAGATGTGGAAGGGTGACGATGGATGGAGTTTGGAATATGTACGTTTCTATATGAGTATGTTCAATTAGGAGTTTAGGGTATCTAATATTGCATTTCATCGGTGGCAACGGGTTTGATTGACTGACTATGTGCCTATATTTGGGGGATTTCTTTGTCGTTCGATGCCAATGTGCCGATTGGAAAGGTGGACAGTGATGTGCATGGGATGTTATTTGTCGAGTGACTGTATTAATTTTACTCCGCGATCTAAGGAACAAGTTGGTTTATAAACATGGTATCAGATCGAGCTCAGGGGTACTGGAAATACAAAAGGGATGTCATGGGAAAATCTTAAAATTTGAAAAACGACGATTATATATTCAATCCCGATCGTAGTTTGCTTGTACGTAAATATATATGTATTATATAACTAGCTGATTTGAATCTAGGACACTGTTATGATTGGTAAACATATGTTTTTCATGAGGTAAAAATGTATTTGTTGTAGTATTTCATTGTGTCCTACTGGTTTCGAACAAGGACCGAAAGAACATTTGTTTTAGTATTTTAAACCCAAGTCTAATATTAAAAAAAAATTATTCATTTTCCCAATTAATTTCAAAATCTAATAATCAAAATCAATAACGAAACTCTTTCATCGACTGTATTTTACAAGATTTTCAAAATATGAAAATATGTAGTGGACTGTTGTTGTAATTTATATTAGTAAGATATTTTCTTATTTACGAATTATTTAATTATTAATTTGAATTTTGATAGAGGACACCACTATATACAATTTATGGCTCCGCCATTGCCAGAGCCTTCAGTGATCTTGAGGTCTTGTGTTCGAAATTCGAAAGCCCTTATTTGTTAAGCACAAGATGTTCTGGTGCAACTTTCAAGCTCATATGAGCTTTACTTATATAAGATCCATAATTGCGCATTTACCACCAACTCGAATTATTGAGACCAGATCATACAAAATATCAAGTGCATTGTAATGTATATATATATATATATATATGAATGTTATATACACCATCATAATTAAGTCATAGCTTGGACAAAGAGTTCATTTTATTGAAATGTGCAAAATTAAACTTTAGTTGTTGTTTTGTACTAAGTAATAAGTTGTCTAACCGTTTATGACACTTACCCGTGATGGGATCAGAGTGGAAAGAGGAATCGCGCGACAGATGTATTCTCCCCTGCAAATTCCTAGCCTTCCCAAACGGCAAGTCGTTTTGGTGAAGTGTAAACGTATACTGGATGTGACGCTTTTCTCCATTACCAATTACCAGTGTAGATTGATTTTGGTCTCAAATTGATATAATAGTTTACGAATGAATTGGTATAATAATTGTGATTCGTCATATTTTTTTTTTAAGGATTGGGATGGATGGTTGATGGGGACGGTTGAGTTCTGAGTTAACCCTCAAAGATAATTATTCAATTTGTTATTAGACGAGCTAGTGAGATTAGGAGGATTGGAGGAGTTAACCCTCAAAGTCATGACTAATACTTGTGAGATGCAAAGGTTTACATTACTCATACAAAAATTTCAATTGATCACTTTTAATAAAATACTAGTTCACAGCCATGTCTGCATGTGGATTTCTCTTATTTGAAATGATTATTAATTATTTCTTTAATCCATTAACCAACTGTAGAGAAAAATAACATTTACCGTGACTTTGCTATGATTAACTATTTGTAATTTAGATCTTAATATCTAATGAACATTAGATAACATATTGAAATTGATATATTTGTTCTCCAATCTTCGATGGTTAATGCGCGTATGGGACAATTATGAAATATGATGATTTTTGATTGTATAATAAAGAAACAACTCTTTGTCATCTTGTAAAAGTGAGTTGCGGGTCATTCACCCACCATCACTCGAGTATTCACCAATAATGCATCTTGTAAGGAAAAAAAACACCCTCTACTACTTGTCCTTCATTTCTTTTTGTCAGAATTAGTAATCAATATCTCCGATTCATAGTATAGTAAATCGTAATATCCCTTACATTGAAACCCACGATCCATATTCAGAGAAAATGTCACGCACCAAATTCTCTTCTCTTATATATAGGGTTAATTGCAAGATTGGTCACTGAGATTACTAAAAACATTTATGTTTAGTCACTGGAAATATTTAATTCCAAATGGTCACTAGATTTTATAAAACAATTCAAGTTTGGTCACTCTCCGTTAGTTTCCGTCCATCTCCGTTAACACCGTCAGTTAACTGCTGACATGCCTAACAGAAATGTTGATTCATCCTATTTTAACCCGCCACATCATAAAATCCGACCCGCCACGTCAGTTTTTCCAAACCAAACCCTTCCCAACCCGTGATCTGACCCTAAACCCTACCACCGGCTCCCCATCTTCTCTCCATTTCCATTTTCCAACCAATTTCCCCTTCAATCTTCCGGCCACTCCCTTGTTCTCTCTTTCTTCGTGGATCGATGTTGGTGGATGCGATTGACGGCGTGCGGCTGTGATGAAGATTAAGAGTGGCGGCAAGAGGGAGGCCAATTCCTCGATGGCATTCACAACACTGGTGCCTTGCCTTCTATTCCTCGTCCTCAATCCTCACCACTGGCAGAGACTTATCAGCGAAGAGTTGGAGATGTCGAGGATTCCTCTCCCAATCGAATATGCAGCTGCAGAGCAAGATTTTCCCCCTTTTCTGGCTTTAAAGGGATACGATTTTTGGCAAGATTCAGGACGCAATCTTAAGGGTTTCTTCTTTGTTCTCCGACAGAGGCACAAATCTGATGGGGACAGAGCCCAGAGTCATCTTCCCTCTGGAGTTCAAGCGCCAACTCCTCGAGCTGGCTCCGCGTTGGAGTTCCGCCGGCGTCGAATGAATTCGGCGATGAAGGCGGCGCTCGGGTTCTTCCTTTCTTCTGGCGTTCGTGAGAGTTAGAGGCGGCGTTGCGGTCCCTCTCCAATGTGCGATCCAAGCAGCTCTCTTTTCCTTCAAATTTTCCCACCGCCGCCTACGTCGCTGTCGCTCAGACATCATAGCCGATGAAATGCCCCTTCCCCCGGCGAATCGAAGGCGTTGGCTCTCTCAATCCAGATCTACGGCCGGCGTTGTTTCCTTCTTCGCCATCTTGAAAGTCCCCAACCAGACATGTGATGCATGTACGTATTTATACTCGTATATACGTGTAGATGTGGCGGTTGATCGACGTTGGAGTTTGGAATGTGTACGTTGCTGTGACTACTAGTGTGTGTTCATTTAGGAGTTCAGGGTATCTAAAATGCATTCCATTGGGGGCCACGGCAAGGAAGTGTTTGATTAACAATGTAATCTATGTTTGGGGGATTTCCTTAATTTGTCGTTGCATGATGCGAATGTGCTGGCTTAAGATAGGGTGCATAACTAAATCTGAACCCTTCATTTAGAAAATCTAGATCTAAGGATGGAGAATTAAAGACCATTTTTATTTTTCCTAACTTTCTTAATCAGCTCATATCTTTTTCGTTTTAACTCGGGTTTTTTTTTTTGCACAGATGGAACGAGTTCATCGTGTTCTACAAAATGATATCAATTTTCAATATTTTTTGTGAAAAAAATTATGGCCTCTCGGTACCAACTGCATACCATATGATATTTTCTTCGTTTTTAATTCGTTTTTGAAAACGTTTGCACAGAAGGGACGAGTTCGTCATGAACTATTGGATCTACAAATTTCTGGGTGAACAAATTACATGACCAAAAAATACCACACAATACCGTACAATACCACCCTGGTACGGGGTGGTATCTTGTGATACACAATGTTAAAAGTCGTAAATGACAGTTAATATACTTCTACTATCATGTATATCAAAATGAATATCATTTTGAAGAACACAATTAATCTGATCTAACTGTGCAAAAATAAATTTCGACTTAAAACGAGTGAGAAATCGTCCGTCAAAGATTAATGAGGAGAAAATTAAAGGCTTTCCAGGAGAGAGAAAGAGAGAGAGAGAGAGAGAGAGAGAGAGAGAGAGAGAGAGAGGGATGCTGATGTCATGCTGATGTGGACGGATTACTCATGGTTACTCACCATACGATTACTGACCTGATCCGTTCCCCAATGTGCCGATCGGAAGATGGACACTTAATTATATGTGCGATACTAGTGTGTTTCAGGGAAATTGTGATAAACTTTATGAGATTTCTGATAAGTTTAAGGAAATTTATGGCAGGTTTTATGAGTTTTTTTTTTGTTTGTTTTAAGAAATATGTGGTCACTTTACAAGCTTAATACTGTATTTAACCATCAGATTCCCTTCCCAGCACACCCCAACTCTTGTCTTGACTAGGCTACCCTGGAATTGACTCCGTAATTTCAGAACTTTGTTCCACAACCAGGCTTTTTGGGTACTCGATTCCCAGATGCTAACATTTCTCAGCCTGTATTTCTTGAGCTAGGCTATCCACATGATTTCCTGATCAGAGAGAAGACATGGTCTAAGCTGGTTTTTAGGCCAATTCTAATCCCTAAGAACTCTCTGATCACCTGGCTTGTCACTCTTAACAGAATCTCTACCTTCGACAAAATAAAGAAATGGCAGCCAGAGGTAGTTAACAAATGTCCTTTATATTTGGGGCATGAAGAGTCCAGGGATCACATCTATTTTGAGTGTCCATATGTACATGAGGTGGTCAAAGTTGTCTTTTCAATAAACTGTGGTTATCATCCTCGAGCAGGATGGGATGATGGATTGCAGGAAGTAGTAGGAACGTTGCAAGGATGCTGTGTGGGTAGATTGCTTTGGAATTTGATGATTAGTGAGATTTGGAGGGAGAGATGTTGCAGGGTGTATGAGAAGTAGTCTCTAAATGCAGCAGGCTTCATAACCAAAATGAGGAATACAATGGAGGACCTGATGGTGGGCAATCTGCCGCTAAGTTTAGTAGTAGAGAGGAAGAAGCTTTGGTTCATGTAACTAATAAGTCCAGCCGTGTTTTTGTATTTCATTATCTGTAAATTGTAGGATGAAGTAGAGGCAGACTGTGATGCTGTATGGTGGATTGTTGTAATGACGGTACTTTGATGGACTAAAGTTGCTTATTCATAAAAAAAAATATGTGGTTACTTTTATGGGGTTTCTGATGTGCTTCAATCTTGAGGTGATTTGTGGTATGTTTAATGAGGTTTTTGATCTGGCGCTTAAGAAACTTGTGGTAAGCTTTATGAAGTTATGGTGTGCCTTGGGGAACTTAATTATAACATGCTTTATAAGGAAACTGGCCTGCTTTATCAAACTTGTGGTTATTTTTATGAGATTTTTGGTGAGCTTCGTGGAACTTGTGGTCTACTTTATGATATTTCTGGTTTGTTTTAAGAAACTTGTGTTCCGTTTTGAGTTTTATAGTATGCTTTATGAATTTTGTGGTGTGGTGAGGTTATGGTCTGCTTTATAATATTTCCGGTCTACTTTACATTATATGCGGTGTGGTTTAATTTGTTGTGTTTATCGTTTGTATTTTGTGGTGTGTTTCATGATACTTGTGATTTATTACTAGATGTGAAATAATTGAGCAGCACCACATGCATGCGTATTCCCCCTATAATTTTTTTAAAAGACAAGTTTGTCCTCCCTTTAAAAATGAACATCAATTGTGGTCAATCCTCAAAAATAAAATAAAATAAAAATAAAAATTATCTATTGATTGGAACTAGTGTTAGCACCATGCTAACAAATTGGGTGTTAGCACAATAACCTCGATCTATAAAAATAATGATCTATAATTACACTTGGCGTTGATAAATATTAATTGTATTGTAATTAATTGATTCTAGTTTTTAATTGTAGAATTTGTAAATGAATTATGTAGTTTGTTTGTTAACAAGTTTCATACTTGAAGGTAGATTGTTGCTAGCTAATAGCAATGGCGTATGCTAGGGTTTAAATTCATATGCAGGTAATCGTGCATCTCAAATCGTGAAAGAGCTATAGCTCCACTGATATCTATCCTGACGGAGGAGATCGACCGGTCCTTAAAAAGGTTTTAGCGACAGATTGTAACTCTTCTTGCGGAGTTGCGGTCTCTGAAAATATGTTTTCTTGTAACTGATAACTTCTGCTTTACTCACTTCATCAGTACCATAGTACTGTATTTATTAGAAATTTTGAAACTAAAACCGTATACATCGGTCCATATTAAGTATTCTCCCCCTGCTTTCTATATAGTAAAAGAAGTACTCCACTGCTTCTTCTTTATTTATTTTTTTGGGTATATTCAGAGTTACCGTCTCCGAATTCTAGTTCGTAATAATTCCCTTACATCGTAAAACCCATGCGCTCGAATCGCGAGAGAAAATGACACGTCGAAAATTCTCTTTCTTTTTCATGATCGTCATCGGTTCTTTTTCATCAACAACTCTCGAACTGATATCTTACCATAATACGATTGTAATTATAATCGTTGTCGGAACCATTTGTATCGAGTTTGCTGAAAGTATCGCGGTCCAGTTCAAGCCCCTCGATTGCAGGCGTGTGAACGATTCGCACCTTCACTTGAGCATCAACTCCTCCAGCTCCGGCAGTCGTCACCTACACATGTACACATTTGCACATAGCTAGGTTAGGTTAGGTCTACCTTTGTCCGTCGACAAACCTTTGTCTCAATTTTGAGACACAAATTCGTTGTAAATTTTTATTTAGTGATGGTAGTATATAAATTCAAAATTATTTGACAGTGCTTGACGATTTTATTTCATCGTTGAATACCTTGATGTAATTCCTGGGTCCGCAACTATATATATATACATTGTACGCCCGTTGATTTTTACTATTTAGAGCACGAATTAACCGAAATTTTGAACATGATACTATACCCTAACCTCTCTAATGGGTGAACCCCAGTCCCTAACCGAAATTCTTATTCGACGAAATATATTAAAGTGTAAAAACCAAATGTGAACACAGACGTATAGCGTACGACTGACTGACGTACACTATTCTTTGCCATATATATATATAAATAAATAAATAAGGGTTTTTTTACCTTGAGGCATCGGCCGCAAATAGCAGTAGTAATATTACCACCACCGAGAGCAGCCCAAGGATACCTCTGACGGGAATTCAGCGACAACCGAGAGAGGGAAGGAGCACATGACAAAACCTCCGACGACGAAGTCGAAGAAGAAGAAAAAGCATTTACGTTGTTGGGCTTGCGATCACCAACAACGCCGTCGATTCCGCGGCGTGCGAGCACTTGTTGTACTGCTACTCCGCCATCTGTTTGATCTTTGGGACAATAGTACTGACAGCAGTCCTCAGAACAACCCAGTTTACTGCAGTAGTTATCAGTACCGCAGCAGGTGCCGGCGTCGCACTGGGTCCATCCGCCGTCGGATCGTTTCCCGCAGTACTGGCCGGAAGACGGTCCAGCATTCAACACGGCCACGGCCACCACCACCAGTATTAATATTGCTACTACTTTCATTGCACTCTCCATGCTCAACTTGTTTTCTTCCTCTTCTTCTTCTTGTTATTTGTTTTTCCATTTGTAGAAAAGGATGGGTTGATGTGGCCATAGACATGGATGCATGTACGTATTTATACTAGCTCGTACGATAGATATGTGGAGGTTAACGATGGAGTTTGGAATATGTACGTTTTCTGTGAGTATTGTGTTCAATTAGGAGGAGTTCAAGGGTGTCTGATATGCATTCCATTGGTGGCAACGGTTTTGGTTGACATGCATCGATATTTAACTTGGAGGGTTTCCTTTGTCGTTGCATGCCAATCTGCCGAATGGAAGATGGCCGTGGGATGATCAGAGCTTAATTTCTTCTTTCTGTTCGCATCAAAATTGGACGTGATGATAGTACTCCTCCAATTTCGGCCAAGAGACTGTATTTAGAAAGCAGCTTGTAGTGAATGGTATAAGATTGACAATCGAATATTTTTCGAATTTCGACAACCCTTGTTTATTAAGCATATGGTATTGGCGACTTGTGTGCAAGTATCGAATTGGGTTCATGTCATACAAAATGCATGTTGAGTGTAATGAGATGAGAGATTTTGAAAATCTTAAGTTCGTGGGTTTTTTATAGGTTCGTTGCCATTGCCATTCAACACCCATTCAACGTCGCTAGTTCGCTTCCGTCATCGCGTCGTCATCTTCCACTCGTCGGCCATGCAACTATCGCGCCCTTACCATGTGTTCCGATCGAATATGGGGTTTCGCTTGCCGCCGTTGAATCTGGATTTTGGCATTGAAAGAAGCAGGTCGGTCACAAAGCCCAGTTGCATCCAGACGCCCCCTACAGTGTTTGATGGTAAATAAGTCAAGCGGGTGGTGTCACAGACATAGACTTCCGAAGCCCATGCGGCGTCTTGAGGTGCACTCATTTCTCAAGACAGCCTCTCCGCATACGCATGCCAACAGGTTTCACTCTGCCTTGGGCTCATAAGGGAGACGACAATAGCCTCCGACCAGTTGTGCTTTCGCTTGCAACGATCCCCGTCATAGCCACATCCTGACTCGGTCAGAACGATGCACAGGCAGACAACACCTTATTGTTATAGTCGCCCCCTTTTACCCCTCTTGTGGCAAGACGACCAGATGGTAGTGTTCTTCAGACGATCAACACAGTCACGACATTTCGGGTCGTGACATTCTCCACCACCCATTATGTAGCACGTCCTCGTGCTGGTGAAGAATGCTTCTCTCCGCAGCATGTATTGCAACACTCGAACCGATTGTGGGCGTCCGCATACGATACCATCATCTGATGGACATGCTCCGGTCGCGTCTCTCGCGCTAGCCTGTTGTGCCATGCGCACATATCGCTTCGCCCCTCGACATCAACATTCACTCTTCACTTCTGCTGCGCTAGTACCTCAGTCGACCTTCACCCTACGCTACTCCCAGCGTTTGTACCTCAATCGACCTTCACCCTACGCTCTCGCTAGCATTAGTTCCTCGGTTGAACGACATTCTCGGCCGCTGCATTCTCCACCTGTCGAGTCTCCCACAATAGCGCAACACATGTGTATCTGTGTCAGAACCGCCTAATATGCACACCCAGGACCGCTTCTCATTCCGGCATAGGATCGGCCCATACTCGACCTACGATGTACTGAGAGAGGAACTAGACTCTTCAGCCTAACTAGGCTCTGATACCACTTGTCACAGACATAGACTTCCGAAGCCCGTGCAGCGTCTTGAGGTGCACTCATTCCTCAAGACCAGCCTCTCCGCATAAGCATGCCAACTGGTTTCGCCCGGCCTTGGGCTCATCAGGGAGAAGACAATAGCCTCCGACCAGTTGTGCCTTCGCTTGCAACGATCCCCGTCATAGCCACATCCTGACTCGGCCAGAACGATGCACATGCAGACAACGCCTTATGGCTATAGTCGCCCCCTTTTACCCCTCTTTCTTGTGGTAAGACGACCAGATGGCAGCGTTCTTCAGACGATCAACACGGTCACGATATTTCGGGTCGTGACAGTGGTTACTGACTTACTGTATCATTTGTAGCATGGGACGGACATAAGTATCTATTTAATATTTACGATCCGTCTTGCTTCGCCTCGTCCCGTTCATGGCCCATTCTATCTCAATTTCAGTATCTATTTGTATTTCTCCTCTTTTGACTTTTATTCAACTAGTTATACTTGATCTTTCAACTAGTTAGACTCAATTACCTATTTTATCATCGCTATTTTCATTCATAAAGTATTTTTTCCCCACATTTTATCATAAAAAGTTAAATTTTGCGTGTATTTTTTTCAAACCTACGTAAGAGTGGGTCGATCAGCCCCGTCCTGTACCCACACGAGTATTACTCGCCCTGACCCACTGTAGCATGGGCCTGAACATGAGTATTGAGATACCCACCTCACTCCATCCCATTGCCATAAGCCCATAAAAAGCCACCTAATCGAGTTGGCTTACGAACTAAACAAGACTTAGCTCACACTCGACTCGTTAATAGACGAATTAAACTTTTTCTTATTCGAAAGAGTTTTTATCGTGTAGAACATCAAGCCGTTAATGAACGGTTTGGTTCATCAACAGGCCTATGCGGTAAATGATCAAACAGTTCCGCTCGCTCTACACATGCATAAATCCAAATTACGCAAAACAGCAAGTGAAGGCAAGGTTCTCTGCAGTAACAAGAAAGGAAACTGAACATTCTTCTCTGTCTTATCTGCCTTCAGCTTCTGAAACGAACCCGCTCTCCTCGTACATCTCATTCTCAAATCTTGCCTAAAAACTTCCTCAACAGACCTCTCGGAACAGAATTTACAAGAAGAAAAAAAAAAAAAATCTTCCCCCCAACCCGAACATAGATACACATATATTCTCTGTAAAGGATCAGCATCCATCATCTTACCAAGCAGCAACACTCAACTTGTCCCTGCCCCTTTCGTGTTGCCAAAGATGGTCAATCAGTCATGGAGCTGGCAACACTAAAGATCTGAGACAGAATAAGACAACAAAACCTATGGAGATGCATGAACAGCATTATTGCTCTTGGTTTTCTTCGTCAGCAGTATACACAGGCAGTTTCCATATCTTGGTGTTCTTCTTTGGGTCGTCGGTGAGGCTGAGATCCGTATCAGCTTCTTTGTATGTTCTGATGAATGTTTTTGCACCCATCATTATCAGACGTTCGATCATGAAAAGTTCATAGTTGTTCTCAATCAGAGGGTCCAGGATCTCGCTGTAGTTAGATGAGTATGCTAGTTTGTATCTGCAAAACACCAAAGACCAAAATCCATCGTCACCTTCACCAATAGCATGTGGAGCAATTTGATTCCAAAAAAATCACTACTAGCAAAATCAGAACAGATGATCCTACGAGCTAGGAAATTGCAACTTCATTCACAAATTTAAACATGTGAACCAAAATCGATCTTACGCATCTACTTATGCAATACAGGAAAAGAGTTACACTGTTACGGTATGCATCAGATGCCTAATCAAAATGGTTTCCAATGGCTAGGTTCAAACTGGACCGAATTGCCATTTGGGTAGACTCAGACCAGATCAAAATAAGTTCTTCCAGGTTTCAATTTTGTAGATTCTCTCCAAAAGGAAAAAGTGGACCAGATCAGATGTGCTTTTGACTCAACTCTAATCCTCAATTGTCCTTAACATATTCTGGAGCAGTGTGGACCATGCGTACCCTTGAACCAAAGTGACAGAATTGTTCTTAACCATTATCCATTGACCAAACTTGTATTTCATAGGCAAAGGACCTTATAGGAGAGAATGATAAAGAATGCTTACTTGAGAGCAAGAGGTGAAAAGAAATTCGGGGTCCTCTCATTTGAAGCAATGAAAAGAGTTCTTCCAGGTGGGACCCACTTCTCAATTCTCCGAAGAATAAATTCAGGGCGTGTGTCCCTGTCCAGATGAGGATGCAGTGTTCGAGCAACTCCATACCTATCCTTCCTTGTTTTAATTTTATCCCCACGCCGAACATGAATAGCATCATAATCACCAAGTTGGGCTATGATCTGTAGATATGAATACAATGGGCAATGAGTTTATTACTTGCAGAAAGCAGATCTTGTAAAGCCTGCCTGCAGGAGAGTTCCAGCAAAGAACAAGGCGCAAAACTATCATCATTGTGGTAACTGATTATAGCAAGATATAGCCAATATAACTATTATTAAAAATAGTACATACTAGAGGGCACAACTAAATCAACAACCTGAAACATTCCATATGAATCCCATTGGTATGCTTGATCTATATGACCACGATTTTGCACTGATACTCGTGGAAAGCATTACACATTTCATGATTACTGAAGATTGGTTCTATATAAAGAGGAGTCCAATAGGCATTTAAATACATACCTCGTCTGCAACATCTCGCAATCTCTCTGCTGCCATTGAAGGAAGAAATGAGTATGGAAGCAGTATTGCACTTCGGTTGTTTCTGTCCTTGCATTCCATGAACCTAAAGGGTTATTATTATCCCCCAGAGAAATACTTAGAAGAGTTAAGAATCATAAAATTGGCTATGACAGAAATTTTTACAACAAACAGCGATTATAGAATACGAAAAAATTTCTAAGGCTCTTTACTACTTTCTATTCTCCCACTGAATGGAGCAGATAATAGCAGATTAAACAGTATCAGCCAGTTGAAATAGTTCAAGATTTCCCGGCAACACGAAATCACAAGCTCTAAAGCAAGTCAATGAATGAAGACACTGCAAACGAAACCTTTTTGGCTATTCAAATAGCCAAAGATTTCCCTACACTTTAATCTATGTGGGAAAACAGAATTATTTTGTATAATGAAGAAGTCAATTAAGGAAGCAAATAGAGCAAGATAAACTTTAATTGTCCCCAGGAGAGCAAAAAATATTACATCAGTATCATTATACACACTGTAAAACTAAAAGCCTCTATACACGTCTGAGAGCCTCCCCTCCAAACCTCAGACAACTTCAACAACCAACTGACTACAAAAATCCTAAGTTTAACAAGAAAAGCAACACAAAACTGAATAAACCAACATGATGCGTACCAGGAAAGGGGACTTGCAGTTCGATTTATGACCAATAGATTGGTATAGCGGCTGTCCTCTTTGAGTTCCAACCGACTAACTTCTTCTACATGGGCAATTCCTCTTGATTCCAACTTCATCGCAGTTGAGACAACATGAAACCACTCTATGGAATTGTCTAAGATAACAGGTACAGTTTCAGACATGAGGTCTATATCGTACAAAGACTCCATACTGCAAGAGTTTGACGTCCACCTTCAAAATAAAAGTAACAAACTTTAGGACATACACAACCAATTCACCCAGTTTTCCACTCTTCCTCTGCTTCTGTACATTTTTAATTGATCACAGATGTCAGGCAGAAATAAATATTACCTTTGAACAAATGATTTTACGGCAAAACTCAAAGGGTTTTTCAAATTAGGAAATTTTCACAGCATAAAGGATATAGTTGATATTCGGTATTCAGACCCTACAAAAGATAATCCACAAGGTGACACTCAGGAAACTCACCTTTCTTCAGAGCTCGAATTGTCGGAATGATGAAGGATTCCCTTGTTATTGTGTATGGGATTGATGCACATTCTAGACGGCATGACAAAAGTTCTGCAACAAGGTGAAAGAAGCAATGGTCAGATTGTGATCCTTTTCAAGGAAGTTTAAACACATAAACAGAGAACATATACTTGCAGCACCTACAAACTGCAAGATACTAGATATGTCAACTCCTTGTGTCCTTAAACTGGTGAAAGTTATCAGAAATCACTACTCAGAGTTCCTGTTTAACCCTTTCATCTCATACGCTTCATTTGCATAAAAAATCCTTTTTGGGAAAGAAAATTCCTTGAATTTCAACGACTTTTTCACTTGCCCTAGTGAACTCAAACCATGAGAAGGCATGATGCAAGGGAATCTCAGCGTAACGATACCACATCAACCCTCCATAAGTATACCAGCAAGCAGAGATCTAACACACTAGCATACTACTCTGATTCTGGTAAGAACACTATCCAAATCAGCACACTAGACATTCATCATCCAAATCAACCACGGTCGAATTTAGGCAGTTTCATAAAATAAACATATCCAATTCACCTAGAATTCTCAACAGTACACGACACCGGATACTATTAGACCAAGTGAAGCAGCTCGGGGGGGGGGGGGGGGGGGGGGGGGGGGGGGGGGAAGAACCGAACTTTCCGCCATTACCTATTGAGAAACAAGGCTTCCTCGAGAGCACACCTGAGGCTGGACTCCTGGTGACCCAAACCTTCGCAAGATTCGCAATGCTTTCCAGGACAGTCAATTCTATTCCCCCAGTACAAATACTTGTCATGCAGAGTATGCATCCGCTTGGGTCGACTGGGCCTCAGAAGCCCCTTGATGAGCTTCATGGAGCGGGCGGAGAACCCATTGGTGGAAATCAGGGAAGAGAGGAGGAAAAGAAAGCCAATGGCAGCTACCCAGATCAGCAGATTCGGGATAGAGGATCTGGGTCGGTTCTTCAGCTTCGGAGGTTTATGAGTTGTCGCCATTGGAAAGTCGCTGGACAGAGAGAGAAATGCCGAGGAAGAGAGATCATGTAAGGGTTGCCGAAGGAGTTTTGAATATCACTTCTCTGCTTTCTTTCTAATCGCAATCAGCAATCGGGAAGAAGAAGAGGAAGATGGATTACGAGCGCGGAGAAAGCATCAGATTTCTTTCTTGAAATTTTTTGGCATTCGGTGCTGAGCTGTTTTTCCTCTCTCCAGTTGAGTTGATATCGCCAGTGCAGAGACGGTTATGGAGCTGAAAGTCAAAGGTAATACTTTTTGGGCTTTGAGTGGTGCTTTTGGGCCCAATGCTCCACTGAGACCTACAACGTGATGCGCCCAAATTCAGGCCCTTAATGGGCCCCGCTTCTAAGCCCAGCCCTTAATGTAGTGGCATTATTGCAACATAGCACAAAAGATGAGTGGTAAAATGCAAATTAGCCATGTAATCCCAAGACATGCACATTTCCCCCAAAAGCAAAGCCCTATTTTATTCATGACCAGCCGAAGGTGACTCGTTGAGTTACAATTTATAGTGAGCCAAGGATCCGATTTGGCAGAGTGGTGAAGAAGCCGTTGAGACTGTAGAAGAAAAGGACTGAGCGAGCGAGCGAGCTACTCAGTCAACACTCACCACCGCCATTCCAATGTTCCAGCCCAACCACCACCAGGTAACTCCCTCTCCTCAGCCCAGAATTCGGCTTCCTTCCTTGCCCCGTTGGTTTCTAAGAAAATGGCGAACGAGAGAAGGAAAAACTCAAAATGTTCCGGTAAAACCAGTCAAGAATTCGACCTTTGTGGTTATCTGATTCGGGCCAACGGGTTTCGGTTTTCCCAGTCTGAGTTTCAGCGGCCACAAGAATTTGTTAGCTAGGGTTTCTCTCTGCATGCGGGTTGTTTTGAGCTAATCGGGCGTTATAGTTGCCTGTATATCGGCTCATGCAGCATCCTGTTTCCGTTTTGTGTGAAATTGGCTCTTCTTTGTTGCAAATGCCGTAGAATTGAAGCTTCTGGGGGCTCTTAAATGAGCGTCTGGTTGGAATCATGGTAATGTGGGTCTAATTTGATCGGAAGTGTTGAAACTGAGCTGTGCTGCCTGTGTATGCGTGCATTAACACTGAAATGGGTTTGTGTTCGATTTTCCTTTTGGTATCTAACAAAGACATGTTTATTTTCAGGACCCACAGCCACAGCCACTGTCAGTTATGGATGTGGATCAGAGTGAGATGAGTATAGTTCAATGGGATGGGACACAAAATGGGGGATTTTCACAAGCTCAGTCCATGATGCTTAACTCTAAGGTTCTCATCAGATTAGAGTTTGACTCAGTTTTTGTATTTTTATGTGCATGGAGTAAGCATTTGTGTGTGGGGGTAACTTCCCGAGAAAATAATCATTTGGAATATCTGCTTGTTTATGTTTGTGCATATCCCTGTTTGACGGTTTTGAGATGTAGTTTGAACGAAATGGTTGTATTCTGATGAGATTTACCTAATGCTGTAGAAACTTCAAGATGATCTACAAAACTTGGGGCTAAAAATCAAGCAGCATGAAAACAACTTAAAACTTCTGAAGAATCAAAAGAACAAACTAGATGACTCTATTCTTGATACACAAGGTAAGTTATGGCTTGGAATGTGAACTTTTTTTCCCCCCTTCTTGAGTGTTCAAAAACCTTACAAGAATGGCCCAACACAACCAGCTGGTTGTTAAGTGTTTCCTTGTATTATTATTTTTATAATATAGAACATGGGTTTATTGTCTATAAAATTATGACTTTATTTCCATTATAGTAAGGAATCACTCTAGACATAGATTCCTATTTATGATCGCTTTCCCTTAATATTGACGAACTTGATCTACGTTTTCTAGTAGTGTTTATGTGGTTCGTTACTTTCAGGTTTGGTTTGGTGTACTTGTAAAATGGTTCGCGTGGTCTATTTTTATTTGGATTTTATTCACATAACTTGCCTCTATTTATTTTGCATGTCATTATGCGAGGTGTATTAATAAAAGTTTATTTTGTTTGTACAAGAAATTGTACCAGAAAAAATTTTCTTACAGAAAAAAAGACATGTAGGACCTCCTTCTCTACATTGTGTTTGCTCACATACCTTACACTCTTCATGTCTTTGAGATTGCCTTATTTTGGTGCATTTGATCAGTCATAGTTTTCTAATTCTAATGCATCAAAAGTGTCGACCAGAAAATGACATGTGTTTCAACTTTAAACCAATGTGCTGACACTATTGTCTCGACTGCATTTCAACCCGCTTATATCTGGAAAAAGGATTTTTTTTTTTTTGTGCTGTCGCTGAGGACTTGGAATCAATAAGATACTTTTTTTTATTTGTGCAAGGCATTCACGCTGTTTCCTTTTTGTTCCCTCATTTCCTTCAACTTCTCACAGTCACTCTTAGCAAGTATCATTCTTCTGCTGCAACGGGAACTGAAAATGAAGAGCGTACCTCCCAGAGTGAAGAGGAAACAATTAAACAAATTCTACAGTATGGGCCTTCTGCTGCCAGCATTTGGTGCCAGTTGAGAGCAAATCACACATCATATGCCTCATATCCTACATTGACCAAAGATGTGATTGGAATTGTCGCTACACTTGGTCGAGTAGATGATGATAATCTTAGCAGGTTTGTATGTGCGACTTTGCATGGCACATATTAGTTTAATGCTTGATTATAAATGAAAAAGCTTTATGATGCGGATATTAGTAAGCATCACCTCTTTGGTTTTAGGGGGTTTGCCATCTTTAGATAACCTAAAAGATCGGTGACCTTTAAGTTTTTTCTAATGATCGGTGTTTTCTTTATGTGGATGCAGGATGCTGTCTCAGTTTCTAGGGGTAGACACTATGTTAGCAATTGTGTGTAAGTCCTATGAAGGTGTGAAAGCTCTGGAGACATATGACAGGGAAGGCCACATTAATAAGGAGTCTGGTATTCATGGTGTGGGTGCTTCGTTTGGGACAGCTTTGAATGGTTCATTTTCCGTCATTTGTCTTGAAGATTTGAGGCAGGAATCCAAATTTAACCCTTTGGCCGTAAGGAATCTTTTTGTCGAGGTTATAAGTGATCATTGTTTTGTTTTGCAGGCCTTACTGTGGTGAATTTGTTCTGGATGACCCCCAAAGGAGGTTGGATCTTCTGAAGCCAAAGTTGTCAACTGGGGAGAGTCCTCCTGGATTTCTTGGGTTTGCTGTGAATATGATAAACGTGGAATACATGAACTTGTTTTTCCTCACATCTAGTGGACATGGGCTCAGGGAGACTCTGTTATATAATATCTTCTCTCGGTTGCAAGTTTATAAAACAAGGGAAGATATGTTACTTGCTCGTCCTTGTATAAGTGATGGAGCCATTTCCCTGGATGGAGGGATGATCAGGCATCCAGGTATCTTTTCCCTAGGCAGCTGGTAAGTAGCTGGGTCACGTCATTGATTTGCGTTTTATTATACTGGCTATTTATTAAGGTGGGTGGATTTAGTAATATGATTTACTTTGATGTGACTAATGCCTCTGATTCCTCTGTATCCTTGACATATCAGTGGGGAATCTGACTGTGAGGTTGATTGTATTCTGTCTTGCAGTGTTTTCTCTTGCTTCATCGTTTTCTAGTATGTATACTTAACTGTGTTGCTTACTAGCTCTGCGTTGTAGTAACTTCTGTTTGCTGAGTCTAACTTTAAAACTTAACTGTAACCTGTAGCTCATTTGTTCACTAATCATGTAGCTGCTCAGTGTTTCTGGCTCCTTTATACAGTGATGAATTGTTTTATTTTCCTTTGTGTGTCCTGATACCTTTTACCTTTTGTCAATTTTCTGCCCTCGTGCTTGTAATTGCTTATTTTCCTCTATTTTCAGGAAAATAAAACTTGTACAGATATACCATCTTGCCATTTGAATTTGTTTCTGGCAGCTATAAATCGTAATGTTCAATTTAGTTTTTACTTCATAATGAAGTTTTCATTTGATCTTATATCTGATGTTTTAGAGGACACTATATTCAGGAAGGAGATGAATATAAGGTTCCCAAGATCGTCGGCGTCAAGTGCTTCTAGTAAGTATAGTGAAACAGAGAAGCAACTCATGGAGATGCGATGGAAGAAAGAGAAAATGGAAGAGGATATGAAGAGGGAACAAGCTTTACTGGATGCTGCGAGGCACCAGTTCCAAAGGAAGAAGGAAGAGTTTGTCAAATTCCTTGCTGAAAGCTCATCATATGCAGCTCAGGTAACCCCCCCACCGCCACTTTCATGTTTGGGGTATAGTAATTCATATTGAGTAGGAGAGAGAAAACTGTCATTTGAATGATTACTGGTAAAATGCCTACAGATATCTAATAAACATGCTAGGTAATTTATCACCGTAATTATTTCTGTTCCTACAACTCGGTGAAACCTCCTTCATGTGATTTTGAGTGGAAAGTCATGAAAGGTCTAGGTCCAATGTTCGAAAAGCAACCACTCATCAAATAGTAAACATAGTTTTAAGGGTAAGTGATGTGCCTTGTGTTTATTATGCAAAGAGAACATGAGGAGGATAGTGTTATGCACTTCACTTGTTTCTTGAATGCATGGGTGGACTCATACAGTTTCAATTCTGCAGCAACCGCATATGCATCCAATGCAGCAGCAGCAACAGCAACAGCAACAGCCCATGCATCCGATGCAGCAGAATCACTTCATGAACAGATGATCTCCTTGGGTGGAAGAAATCCTAATCACAGGAGGACAGCCGTGGCGAATGTTTTTGTCTTCCATATGCACAGAATTCACCGTCCAAGCCGTGCTGCTTCCAACTTTACTCCTTGTGCCGAGAAATGTGCTGCGAATTCTCCTCAGAAGAGTTAGTCGGCATTGTTTCTCAAGAACTAGGAAAAGTCGTGCGGAAATCTTCTCGTGTTATGGTGTCGAGACAAAGCAAAAAGCTTGCTTCCCAGGGTATTCAAATGGGTATCCCTGTCCCAGCCATGGCGTTATGATGTTGGTCTTCCTCTAGTTGTATGCCCTTTGGCTCTTGCTTTGTATGTTTTTCGATCAGTACCATCGATTTGGATGTGGCTTTTGCTGTTGGTGGTATGAAATGCTCCTTCGTTTAGGAAATCAGTGTTCGATAGTAGTGCCAGTTTGATGAGTGAAAGTGTTTAACCATTGCGACATAACTAGGGGTGTCAGTTCGGGTCGGGTTTGGTTACCCAAACCGAAACCCGAAAAAAACCGAAAACCCGAAACTGAAAATTACTAAAACCGAACCCAATAAGGACTTGCGGGTTCCGGTTACCCGAAACCCAAAAATTCCTAATCGGGTTCGGTTAAAGCAAAACCGAAACCCGAAAACCCGAACGCCTAAAAATAGACGCTGGGTTCTATTCATTGGAAGTTTTTAGCCGAAACCCGAAAAACCGATAAGCAAAACCGAACCCGAAACCAAAAAAACCCGAAACCGAAAATGTATATAATCGGGTCGGTTTCGGGTAAGCCCGAAAAACCGAACCCAAATGGACACCCGTAGACATAACTAAACTACCAACCTGAAGTCTTGCTAAATCCGAACTCTTCTAAAACAAACATGTATCATCCTTATTTGGAAAAAAATTCCAACTTTTTTATGTCCAGCGGAAAAATACTGAAATATGTATTTGTGAGGTCGGCGATTCGAATCCCACAACCCCTTTTTTTCTCGATATTGTTTTACAACCCGACCCCTGCAGCTCAACGTCCGTCACACACGCGCGCATCGTTCATTCGAGAATCGAGAAACCCTACTCGATCTGCTTCCTTTCTCTTCTCCGCAGACTTCCACCCAAAGGCCAAAACCCAGCTTCAAGCTTGAAACTCTCCATCTACTCCTTTCCCTCAATAATTCTGGAGACTTCGTTTCTCTTTTCCAACATCCGCCGCTGAATCCCTCTCCGTCCCTGAATCCGTCCGCCGCTGATTCCGTCTCTGCCTGAGAATCCCCTTCGACATCTCAGCTCTGGTGAGTGACCTCTTCTCTCGATCTTCCGCTGCCAGAACGTTTTCCTCCCCTAGAGCTAGTTAAAGGAGTGAGGTTTTCTCTCTTTAGTTGCCCCTTTCATTGGGGATTGTTGTGATTAAACGGGCAGTTTTTCGCCGTGTGGTACGGGGACTGTGTTTCATCCTCACAAAGTGGCTTTTCCTTGATGTGCAAATTATCTGTTGGAATTGAACTGCGGCAGTACTTTATGTTTATGCACATATGAGTCGTCAATCAGGGTGCACAATTGCAGTGCATTTGAAAAGAGTATTTTTTAGCCCTTCGACTTAAGGAGAAGGGGAAATTTTTCTGCGGCAATCCGTTGAAACTTGAAAGTTTTGCTCTGGTATGCAGCCCTTTATGATTGCCAAATATGAGATGCTAAATCTCTGGGGCTGTAATTTATGTGGACCTAGTTGGATTAATTGTGATTCATAGTCTGGGGTTTGGTGTTCTTGAGTTATCCCCAGTTCCTGCCTGTTTGTTTCTTGGGCAAAACCAGAGTTTCTCCCTGACAAAACACTGTAGAAATTTTTAGTGCTGAACTTTGAGCAGCTCATGCTGCTAGAGCCTAGAAGACGAAGGGTTTGATTCCCCCTAAATGTACTTATTCACTTTAACAATCGTAACTCACCAATGGCTCGGTCACTAGAATTGTTTGGTCACCAGCCTCCATGATCTCTTGTTCTGCCGGTGTGTTAAGGCTATTAAGCCATACTTCCTTCCATATTTTAGAGTCTTAATTAAAGGACATACAGTTCTCTGAAGTTGCGTCGTCTGGTGGGCAATTTAAGCTTATTGCGTTTGGAAAATCGATGGCCATGGGTGAGCTGCCTGATTGTTAGTCTAAACTGTGGCCTGTTGCAGCTTTTGCAACCTATAAATTCTTAATCACTTTAGCAAGTTATCTTGTAACATGTGTTAATTGTCCATTTATATCTACCTCTAGGTTGAATTGTGAATTCCAGGTTATATGACTTCTGCTCAGATTTCTTTTTGTCATTATACACCTTGTCGAAACAATAACAAACCTTGTGTGTTGTTGAGTGTAGAGCAAAAGGTGAAGATGGCTGGTAGAGTAGCAAAGAATGTAGCAAAGGCAGTGGCAGAATACCAGTACCCATGGAAGGAGAAGTTGGCAAAACACAAAGCCGAGCTATCCAAGGGCGTGTGGGGCTACTGGAACTTAGGTGCATGGACCCCGCTCCAGATCAGTGCCCGTCGACGTGCTAAACTACGGAGGGAAGTTCTTCTTGCTGGGCAAGATTGGCCGTATGATCCCGAGAGAAAAGAAATGAGAACCAAAATGAAAGGACACAAATGCGACAGAATAGCTGCTGAGAAACGTGCAAACACTGCTAAGCTGATGGAGAAAATGCCAGACATGTTGCTAGCCTACAAGAAGAGAAGATGGGAGAAGAAAATGAAGGAAGAAGACAAGAACAAGTAGAGGAATTGTTTTCCCGGTTGTACTTCGGTAGCTGCCCTCCATGAATGGCTATCGTTGAAAAAGTAGAGCTTTTGTAGACTTTGATGCAACTGTTCTTGCTCTGTTCTTGCTCTGTTCTTGATTGCAACAAGTTTCCTTGAGCTTTTTTGTTATAGTTCATGGCTTCTCGGTGAACCGGGCGGGTACTGATAAGAATCGATTCAATAAGTGAGAATGTAGCTTGTTGCTCTAATGCTACACTTGTTCTTATCCACAAGACTGATAAAGAGATTAGTCTGCAGGTCTAATGGAGTACGTTTCAGGATGGATTTAGCTCAACAAATGAAGGGAAAAGTTCAAAAACAAAGATCTGGTGTGTACAAACCCAATGAAAGCTGGAATATGGCAAAAAAAAGGTTCCACCGAGATTTGAACTCGGGTTACTGGATTCAGAGTCCAATGTCCTGACCACTAGACCATGGAACCTATGTTGAAATTGTTGTTGATTCTAGTAATTTATAACTATTTACATATATAAGTTAATCCACAGAATCAAGCAAGAAAATAAATAAAGATTAAATTAAACTCCCATCATACCGCAAGTGCAATTCCTGTCCAGAGCCTATTTTCGTTTGCATCACTTCAGTTTATCTTTTGAAATAGCATGCCACTACATACTCTTCTAAATAAAAATGAACTTCCCGGTACCAAGATCCATAAAATCTATGACCTCATTTTTTGTTGAACTACTAGTCAAAGCATCCAGCTAGCATGAAGGACACGACTTTCATGCAATGCAATTAGAGACAAGAAAATGATGTTAAGACGAAATTATATGACTTATTACTTCAATCTTAGTGCAGCCAGTCCCGCCCATCCTTAAAGGAGGAAGCGATCACGACATGTGATTGACCAAACCAAAACCATCTTTCTCGTTTTTTAATTTTTAGTGGTTCATTAAACAAAGGTCTGATGAAACAAGACTCAAAACCTAAAGCCCCCACATAACTACTCGAAAAACTCAATAGGACTCAGGCAATGAGCCCAACCCTAGTTCAAACACTCAAACCCTAGCTCCACCTTGCTTGCTCTTGGAGACACCACCGCCACCAACAACAACATGTTGTTCCCAAAGACTAGCAAAATCTTAAATAGCAAATTTTTTGGGTCATCTCAATGGGTTCAGAAACTACACGTTTCTCTGGATCATCATAACGTACTTCCACATATCCACTCAGAGGAAGGTGCTTTCGTAATGGACGACCCTCGAAACCATATCCTGTTGATATACGGTGTAGATCCCGATGATTGATGTAAGAAACACCCAATATATCCCAAATTTCTCGCTCCCACCGATCGAATCCCTCCTCCCTCCAAGAGAATCCAAGATATGATGGTCCAAACTTTACCAAGAAGGAGAACTACAACCAACCAAGCAACCAACCCAAACGGAGGGCAGCGGAAGCACTGAGAAACACCTCCGACCATTTCTCGTTGGACCAGATTTCATCAGCGAAAGATACATCAGAGCGAAAGGGCGGTCGGTGACGTAACCAAGAAGGACAAACTTTTGTCTTCAATTTTTTTCAATAGAGTCCAAGTTAAGGCCCAAACACCTCCAAAACATCGAATTATGCTGGATGAAACAAGGAGATAGACAAAGAGATTCGTGTCTAACACGTCGGAGGACACATTATTCCTTAACCATATCAAAGGAAATACGGTGGCGCATTGTTCCTTCGCCACATTAAACGGCAACGGCCGATCTAAAAGTCTTTCAACCAACCAAAGAATATATAAAGAGACAAAAATGGGATTTGTTCTTTCTTAGATAAATGTTTCCTCTCGATACTTCGTGTTCGCTGTTGATTGTCCCTGATTAGAGCACGCAGCGGCATTTCCTCTGAAGCAAGAAGAAGATATTTTTCTTTATATCTCGGTATATAGCTACCTTCGGTTGGTACCTCTTCTCTGCTTCTCCAACCCTTATTTTTAATCCCACCTTTCCCTCACTGAATTACTCCATCCATACATGTTTTTCGCTAAATCCAAGACTTACCCGTTTCAATTCGCTCCAGATAACGTCAAACCCACCTCCTTGATTCCTCTATGAATCATCGGTGGTTCCCTATTTGCTCGGCTTGGTACTGATTCCTTTTGCCCCACCGTTACGAAAACTTCCCTTTATCCACTTCTCCGCGACCATGGCTGCCGCAGCTCTTAGATCGAAGCCCGGCAAAGCGACGGCCTCCTTTGCTATCTCACAGTTCAGGTACTGCCTGCTCAGCTACCCACGCCCCGGGGGTCGCATGTCCAACTCGTATTCGACTAGTCGTTCCAAATGGAGTGATTACTACACAACAACTCCGTATCACTTCACTTCCTTCAAGCCAGTCTCCCTCCGTGGCGAATTGGTTGATAAGGGTTGCCGGGCGTTTGCGATCGGGGGACGCGGCGGCAAAGAATTGATAAGTGGGAACGATACTGTTCTGGCTTGCTCTTCTGGTAATAGCAATGGGTCTAACTATGGGGAGCCGCCGGAGGCCTGGCAGCCTCCTGGCGATGGAATTGCGAGGGTTAGCGAGTCGAGTTTGAATGGTGTCCGCGGAGGCAAAGGAGGAGGAGGGCCTGGTTCTGGGTCCAAAGATGGGTCCTGGGGTGGATCCAATTTGGGGAACAATTTCCCAACTCCGAAAGAAATCTGTAAAGGTTTGGATAAGTTCGTGATTGGTCAAGAAAGGGCAAAGAAGGTGACTCTCGTTTTCCTGCTCAGTTTGTTCCTTTTTTTTTTGTTAGAAGCTTGTTGCTGAAGCATTTTGAAGTTGTTTGGCTTGTGCATGAATGTGCAATTGAGTGGTTTGGTTCTTGAATTGGTGACTGAATATACGACTTTGCCTAAGCTCAAGCTACATATCCTCGTCATCTGACCTTTTGTGTTTCTTCATACTGCTCTAATCTGTTCCCTAATTGCCCAACTACTTATCTGTGTTGTCTATCTAGTTCATCGTTATCTTCATTCCTTTTCTACAGCCTACTGTTTTGTGATTGCTGCTCGGTACCAGGTCATGCTCATTTTGCTAATGTTATCTTAATATCATCTTGAATGCAGGTGCTTTCTGTAGCAGTTTACAATCACTATAAGAGGGTCCATCACGAGACCATTCAAAGGTGTTACTTTGTATCTTGAATATATATCAAGCAACTTTCTTTTTTCTCCCTTGACTATCACATAATATAATTGGGGGAGGGTGGGCTTTTGAAGGGGAGTGGTTTGGGTGAGTTGGATGATAGATGGGAGAGGATATGGGGACACTGGGTATAACAGGCCAGTGGTTGCTCAAATTTAGCATGTCTCTTCTTTTGACCGGTTCCAGAAACTGCCTGTGTCTTGTGATATATCTGTCATAATGCTTCAAAATGTTTCCATGCAATAGTGAGGATTCTGACAGTTATAGCAGCTTAATTTTCCTCCCTGTATTAGTCCATTCATGGATTTTCTTTGATCTGGTGCCAGTTTAGGTTTGAAAATGAAACATTGAGGGCAAAGGATTATGGTTTACTATTGTGTTGCATTTTGCTTTTAATTGTGGTTATGGAGTTTTCAACTTGTAACACATACATGGGAAGTTAGGTCTGCAGGAGATTCAGGTAACAAGCTTGATGCTGTGGATGATGATGGAGTGGAGCTTGAGAAAAGTAATATTCTTTTGATGGGACCAACTGGCTCAGGTAATTGTCAGGGTCCATTTGTTCTATCCTGCTTGCAAAGTTGAAATGGCCACATCAGCAGCTCATTGGATATAACTGTCACTATGAGTTGGATGCCTGTACCTCTTGTTGGAGTGCCAATAGTTCCGCAACCGTGATTCTTAACACTATATTGTCATGCTCGATACTTCAAACACCACTGCAGTGGCATGTGGATATTCGTCCCATCAAAATCAACCTTTTCTGTATTCCCCTACTTGTCAATTACTTATGTCATTAGCTGTCTATTTGATTGAATGAGTTCAGGACCTTTGCATTGTGAACCCTATAAATCAGTTACTGGTCTCACTTGTCTACTGTATTTTTATGCCATTTCAAGGACAGGGAAAACCCTACTTGCGAAAACAATGGCACGGTTTGTCAATGTTCCCTTTGTTATAGCAGACGCCACTACCTTGACGCAGGTAACTCAGTCATAAATTGTTTCATTCTAATCATCTGCTCCTCCACCATAGCTTCTGCTTTTTTTAACATTTAAGTTATTGCTGCATAAAGTGCCAAGTCATTATATCCTGAAGCATTCTTGTTTTGGAACTGATTTTATATTTTTCAATATTCTCTGTGCAGGCTGGTTATGTTGGAGAAGACGTGGAGTCTATATTGTATAAGCTACTTGTGGTAATCTTTCTCTATCTGGTTTGTTCTTTTTATGAGTAATAATCTAATCAGAAAGAATCATAATCTTTGGGGCTGCGGAGCATGCTATTTGATTTCAAATTCTCTCTTTCTAAGTATCTCTTTCACCTAAATGTGTCTTATCTCTCCATCATATATCAGGTTGCCGACTATAATGTAGCAGCTGCACAGCAGGGCATAGTTTACATAGATGAAGTTGACAAAATCACCAAAAAGGTTCTTCAACCATTTCCAAATGAGACTGAATATTTCATTAACTGCTTTCAGTACAATTATAAACATTATATTTTACTCTACTGATTATTCATTTATGTCAATGTGGCAGGCAGAGAGTGCTAACCTTAGTAGAGATGTGTCAGGAGAGGGTGTTCAGCAGGCATTGCTTAAGATGCTTGAAGGAACTGTAAGTGCTTCTGGGCTGAAGTAGCAAGGGATATTTGGTCTGTCTGATAAAAATTATCCATTACTGTTTCACATAAGAGAACAGATTGCATTATTTAGTACGGTAATTTAGTTGACCTGTAATGCAAAAGCAACTAATTGAAGTGTTCACCAAGCACATAGTTACAATGTTGTTCTTCTTATCCAGATTGTCAATGTTCCAGAGAAGGGGGCTAGGAAGCATCCCAGGGGTGATAATATTCAGGTACTGTGGCTGCAAAATGAACATGGATGATGCTTTTTGTTGGCAGTGTTGTACTCTTCTGGTACTTTTGTGTATGAGACGGATTCGTCATATATTGCTCTTTATTTCTTGTCTCTTCTGTGTTTTACCATAGATTGACACCAAGGATATTCTCTTCATATGTGGAGGCGCATTTATTGACTTGGAGAAAACCATTTCAGAGAGGTAACATGGAAATGCAGACCTCAGTCCTTTTAGCTTTCTTTTATTTTCATCTGAAAATGGATGTTCGTGGTATGTATTTTGTCTCAATATACAGGCGACAAGATTCATCTATAGGGTTTGGTGCCCCGGTACGTGCTAACATGAGAACCGGCACTGTTACAAGTGCTGCTGTCACATCTTCTTTATTGGAAACTGTAAGTGCAGTCTTCACCTAAACTAAGCAACTGTTATGTGCTTTATTACTAGTTTGGTGGTTGGTTTTGTTTTGTCTCATATTCCTGGGATTAAATATGCCATGTGATGTTTTTTGGCAGGTTGAAAGTGGTGATCTTATATCATATGGCTTGATTCCTGAGTTTGTTGGAAGATTTCCCGTCCTTGTCAGCTTGTCAGCTCTCACAGAAGATCAACTTGTGCAGGTAAACTTGTAGTTGTGGACTTGTGGTGAATTGCAAGTTTAATAACGTAAGTTAAATATGTTTAGATTTTACTTCTTATTTCTAACTTTAATTGCATGGAAAATAAAATAATTTCACCATTCTTCTCCAGCTTACGCTATATTTATTGCTTCTGAATTCATCAATGGCTTTTTCAGGTTCTGACGGAGCCCAAGAATGCCCTTGGAAAGCAATACAAAAAGATGTTTGAAATGAATGGAGTTAGTACATTTTATGTTAACATGCAGTTAATTGATGCTTTCGGTGACTTAAATCTTCAGGGTTGTCTACCAAACTTATGGCTCATTTTGGTTTCCCAGGTTAAGCTACACTTCACAGAAAATGCTACGAGATTAATTGCCAGGAAAGCTATAACCAAAAATACCGGGGCTCGTGGCTTGCGATCCATACTAGAAAATATCTTGATGGATTCCATGTACGAGGTATGTTGCTCCTTGCTTGCTATTGGGTGGCTACTAATTCTACTCTCCATATCTGTGGTTCATCAGACGTCAATGTGGTGGGCTAAAAGTTAATACTATCACAAAGTTTATAATTTCCGGTGATAAAATATCAAGCTGCAATGAATCTTCTCTGTAAATAAAGGAAAGAACTGCAATGGTTGAAGATTCTCAATTCAGTTTGTGTGCCTCCTGTGTCATATGGTTACTTGTGATACATGCATCAAACGTCATTTTTGAACTGTTATCTGCTTGTGGGTCGTGCTTCATGTTTTGGCCTGTTCAGTTCTTGAAAGCCTGACAACTGATTGAAAGTCGTGTACTTTACAAATATCTGCACAGATTCCTGATGTGAGAACAGAGGAGGATATGATAGATGCTGTTATGGTGGACGAGGAAGCCGTTGGATCGGAGGGACACGGTCTTGGAGCCAAAATCCTTTACGGGAAGGGTGCCTTGGACCGTTATCTTGCTAATTCACGACAGCCCGAGGTACCTATCTACACTGCATAGTTGAATTTAGTGCAGTATTTGATTAGAATCTTCATGTTGATGGAGCCTAACAGATAGTTGATAAAATGTTTTTGCAGACAAGGGTTGAAGTGACTGATGCGGATGCTGATGCCGAACCTGAGCTTCCTTCGGTAGTCGCTAGCATGTAATCGATATTTGTTCGGAAAGAGAACAAAATTCTGTTATATATATGTGTAGCCTTTGATCACATTGTACATAATTTATCAGTCCGCAACCTTGTTTTACTTAAATAATCGCGATCATTAAGGTTAATGCTACATACCATAATCTGTAAATGTACATGTTGTGACCCTTTCTAGTTTGCTGTTTCATGCACTTACTCATTGTTCTGTACTGTTGACATACTTCCGGCTAGACTCCGTAACAAATGCCAGCCGATCTTTAAGCATTACAGAAGAATAGGGAAACCAGATATGTACTGGATTGATTAGTAACCAATTCTGCTCATATGGCAAGAGTTGAGTTATTTTGCTCACAAGCTGTTGGGAAAAGTCCTTTCTATGGTACAAACAAATTTAATGCGTGACAGTAATAAATTTTTTATGGTACTAATTCAAATTGCACATATACCATTTTGTCTAAGTTAAATTACTTTGTACATAATGAACTTGTGCCGTCAACATTATATTTCAAATTTAACTTGTACTTGAAAGCATGTGTTCTTATAAAGCTATTGGTAGAGGCGGGCAACTTGGCGGTTGATTTCCGATTTGATATTGATCCATCCGTAGATAATACAAGATGAGTGATTAATGTAGGTGAACTGTGGGTCTGTAAATCTCCTATATGCACTTATCAGAATGGCCAGTGGGTGGACTGTGAACCGAAATGACATGCAACTCACTTTTACATGACGAATAGATTTTTTTCCTCTTCCTAATATCGAATGCCACAGTTAAGTGTTATTTTTCTCTGCCAATGGTTTATGGATTAATGAACGAATTTATAACCACCGTCAAAGAAACGAAATCCACATGCTTGACGGTCAATGTAGTTAGGGATATGTGCTTGTGTTCTATGTCAATGAGTACTTTATTAAAAGTGACCAATTGAAAAGTTTGTGAGCAATACAAAACTTTGCATCTCACAAGTACGATCAGAACCACGAGAGCAAAGCGAGAGGAAATGTTGATTGCTTCAATCCTCCTAATCTCACTAGCGAGTCTAATGACTAGTTGAATGATTCCCTTCGCGAGTTGACCTACAGTCCATCTGTCGCCATCCACCACCTTATCCAAAAAAATTATAAATAAATGACGAGTCACAATTGTATAAACTCGTTAATATGTATGTATCAATTTGATAAAATTTATCCAACCTATCCAATGCCCACGCATAATCTTTGTGAATATTGAGGTATCCACCATTCATGGAGATGGAATCGTACATTCAAGATGAGAAATGCGTACAAGAGGCAGAAGGGAGGAGGATGGTAGGGAAGCCTCTGCTGTCCAGCCTAAGTCGCTTCTGAACTAGAGTACAATGGTTGCTTTCCATTTTGTAATTTATAGGAATTCAGATTCCATGTCAACTTATTGTATTTATGATAGGTCATTGAGTGATCAACAATCAAATTATAAACGAAATTTGAGTGAATTGAATCAATTCACATTCGCGTCTTCTTCTCTTTTTTTTTACGGGTCATTCACGTCTTCATCTTAAATATGAGTATTGAGATACCCGCTCCATCTAACCTTAGTTAAAACTCAAAATGAGTATAGAACATGGTTGTCACGCCGGCCGGCGTGCCATCGGTTGTACCTGGTTCAACCGATACTGGTCATAAAATTGGCGTGACATCACCGGTATGACCGGCATGATCGATACACGAATCTCTAAGTAAAATTACCTTATTTTAGTGAATTTAATTATTGAAAATTATTTTATTTTTTATTTTATGAGTATAAAAGTTAAATATTGATGTTATTTGTTGGATTCAAGTATATATGTTTAGGTATTGACGTTAAATGTCATGTTTAAATATGAGTATTTATAATTTTATTTGTAATATTGACCGGCATGAACCGGCACAAACCGGTATGTACCACCGGTCGAACAATTCCACGTGCTAAACCGACACACTGACATAAACCGGTTTGACAACGTTGGTATAGAAAAATTGATTACTCATGGGCCCAGATATGGCCCAACATCATGACTCTAGCCTTAAGAAATAAACCGGTCCATTTCAGAATGTCGGCCCATTATCTGCTTCGTGGCCGTAAAAATCTGGAATTAGGGTTACGCCCTTCCATCCTCATCTGCGCGTAGCTGTTCTTGTTCCGGAGTTTACCTAAGCGCTTTTTCATCACTGCGCCGCTTTCTCTCTTCTCCGGCAAGTGCAAGCTTCATTTTTTAAGCTTCTCATTACCCGCAGGAGTCCCACCATGGAAGTAGAGGCCCCACTTCCAGTTCCGGCTCCAGCTCCGGCGTCAGTTACTGGTCCCATGGACGTCAAATTGTTCAATCGCTGGGTGTTCGATGATATTCAGGTTTGGTTCATTTTTTAGCTTCGTTATCGTCTTTCCTCGAGTTTCGTTAGGGAGTCCGTCTTCTCTTCCGTCCCTCCCTTCCGTCGTCGCCGTCGGCGGTCAGGTCTAATCCCAACTCTCTCCCTCTCTCCACGTTTGCGTCTCGTCTTCGTTTTGTTATTCAATAACTTTACTCAATCTGATTAACTGCCGTTTTCGCTGCTTAGATATATTAATGCGACTGAGCTCTTGATTTTGCTTGGAGGGTCTTGATTCTGCTCGCAGGCTTATTAGGGTTTGTATATTTGTTTTGTGATTTGGATTGTTGTAGATCAATGACATTTCCTTGTCGGATTATATTGGCGTCCAAGCGGCCAAGCATGCAACATTTGTCCCCCACACAGCTGGGAGGTACTCTGCCAAGCGATTCAGGAAGGCTCAGTGCCCGATCATTGAGAGGCTTACCAACTCTCTTATGATGCACGGGAGAAACAATGGTAAGAAGCTGATGGCAGTCAGGATTGTCAAGCACGCCATGGAGATCATCCACCTCCTAACTGATGCAAACCCAATCCAAATCATCGTTGATGCTGTGGTCAACAGGTCTGTGAGATGGTGATCGAGACCGAATTTGTTTTGGTTTGTGGATGAGTTTGTTTCTCACAGTATTTTCGTTTGCAGCGGTCCTCGTGAAGATGCAACTAGAATTGGTTCGGCTGGTGTTGTGAGGCGTCAGGCCGTCGATATTTCTCCGCTCAGGCGTGTCAACCAGGCCCTGTACCTCCTGACCACTGGAGCTAGGGAGTCTGCTTTCCGTAACATCAAGACTATCGCTGAATGCTTGGCTGATGAACTCATCAATGCTGCAAAGGGATCCTCGAACAGGTTTGTTTGCTTATAGATTGATTTATGTTGATTGTTCGTGGATGCTCACATTGCTGATTATGCTCTCTCTCTCTCTCTCTCTCTGTGGTTGCTTTCCAGCTATGCTATCAAGAAGAAGGACGAGATTGAGAGAGTTGCCAAAGCCAACCGTTAAGAGATTTTTGTATGTCTGCTGTTATCTTCAGCTTTAGCCCGTGTGTGTTGCTGGAAAATGTCAGGAGAATTTTGCTGTTTGTCTTTTGAGGTTTAAGGTACTTTTATTGTCAGTTGTTAGTGAATACCGAGAGTTTGTTTTGGAAGCCGAATGCTACAATCGTTTATTTGATACTTCTAGCAATGTCATGCTGAATCCTACCTTGATTTTAAGGTTTATTGCTATCTCTCATGTCATTATCTCCTTGTATGTCTATATCTCGTTCTCTGTTGGTTAAAATGGAACCCCATAACAGTTTTAGGTAAGTTTACAGGTTCGTGTGTATTTTTCAGACTCTCTCGTTTATCTCTAGTTTCAGAGTTTGAACAAGAGTGAAATGGAGTTTAAGAACTGAGATGGAGATATGCAACTCACTTCTTCTTGACGTCACTTGGGAAAGCTTCAAAACTACAGCTTAAGTTGTTGTAAACACTTGTAGTTTTAACTTTCAAGCCACGTTCACTTGGCAATGTCAGAAACAGGGATAACTGCAAAAAAAACTTAACCAAGGTAGTGATGGACATTGGCCAATCTGCCAAACTAAATGGTCCAGAAACCCGAGGGTTCTACGTCTGGAGCTTTGCTCTATGCTCGTTCAGTTCCTGCCAACGATTTTCGAATTCCAACTCAAAGTTGGACTTAAGAGGCTCCAAAAAAGGGATCCTACAACTCAAAGATGTTATATACCCAGGTTGTCAACCCGCGGGTTGACCCACTTTGACCCTGATCCGGTGAGAAAAACGGGTCGCACGCACCCGCCGGGTCGACCGCTATAAGGTGCTGGGTTGAAGGTCAAATTGTGCCATTTTTTTCTTTGTTTTGCGAAATGCGCCTATTTTCCGATTTTTCTTTTCGCCTAACTCAATCTTTGGAATCCTAAGTGTGTGAATTTTCACTATATGTTGAATCTAAGTACAAAATGTTATTTTGGTGTAATATTATATGTTATAACTCATATGTTAGATGAGATTTGATATAATTTATAAGGATAAGTACAATATAATGACGCTTTCCATATTTACGGGCTAAACCGGGCTAAAACGGGTGACCCATTAACCCTTGACCCACTAGCTCAACCGAGTCTGGGTCAACCCGCGGGTTGACAACCTTGTATATACCTTTTCCAACTTATGGTTCTGATTGCGTGACTCGACAAGCTCCATCTTCAACTTGACAATATTTTGCAGCTAAACTCAGATCATCCATGAAGACACGTTCAAATTCTTGTCCATGATATTGTGTACACTTCACTGAAACGACTGCCGTTTGGAAAGGCTAGGAATTTGCAGAGGAGAATACAGCTGCTGCACGTTTCCTCTTCATTTCTGACTTCTTCCCACTCCGACGGTTCCCTACTCGCTTCTCGGCTAACTCGTTGGAAGTGGATTTCCTTGTCCGTCTGAAGTGGATTCCGGCATCGGTTGGACTGAAATCTGCAGAAACGGGGAGCGCGTATACCTGGGAGTCGTCCTCTTCATCGGTCAGTTCCTCGACGGCGGATCGTCTCAGCCTTTCCGTCAATCTCTCTAAGAAAAAACTCAATTCTCTTGCTGCTGCAGCGCCTACGGGGGACAATGCACGGCCGCCCTCGTAAGCCTTTGAAACCAGTAGACGAAGCCGCTGTAGCTGCCAAGGCTGAGAAGCTTCGCGCTCTCCAATCTGAGTTCCTTTCCAATCACCAGAACAAAATGTGAGGAATTAATCTTGTCCTTTCCTTTGCTCGTCTGTTTCTCGCTTCTTCCTCTTCCGTCGCAGAAAACTTCCGCGGATTACTACTGATTCTCTTTTTGGCGTGTGGAATTGCAGTTACAGTAAGGAAGCTGTAGAGTTGAGCGCCAAGCTGCTGGAGATCAATCCGGAGCTGTACACTGCTTGGAACTACAGGAAGCTTGCTGTTCAGCAGAATCTCGCACAGTGCGAATCGGATCCAGAATCTGTTAATTCGATTCTCAATGAAGAACTTAAAGTGGTGCGTAATTTACTTGGAACCAAGTGTTTGGAAGTGAAATTGACATTGAAATTGAAATCTCCAAGCAATCTATGCTTAGTTTTCTTTTTTTGGCTTCATTTTACCTTGTTTAGCGTGATGAGAATAGTGTCTGTAGGTGGAGAATGCATTGAGGCAAAATTTCAAGTCGTATGGAGCTTGGCACCATAGGAAATGGGTACTGGAGAAAGGGCATTCCTCCATGGATAAGGAGTTGGGACTTTTGGACAAGTTCCAAGCCATGGATGCGCGGAATTTTCATGCCTGGAATTACCGCAGGTAAATGCTTGGATGGTGGAGATTTTCCAGCTTCTATACCTCTCTTAGTGACACTGGACTCTTTCTTTTGGATGTCTTTATTTAGATTTGTGGCAGCATTGATGAAACGATCAGACGAGGATGAACTAGAGCACACCCAGAATATGATTGACAAAAACCTGAGTAACTATTCTGCATGGCACAATCGCAGGTAGGATGACTGCTTTGGTGCGTGCACGAATTACATATGTTGAGATTGGTTACTGTCTTGCTGACTACTTATGCAAGTCCAGTAAGTAAAGACATATGCTGGTTAATGCCTAACAACTTGGTGATTCCAGAGACGCTTTCGGTTGAAGATTGTCGTTGGCTTTTGTACTGCTAAAAGGTGCTCTAGGTTCTCTGCAATAGAGAGATATTGTGGCCTAAGCGTTATCACAGTGCATAAGCCAACAACAATCATAAGTGGAAAACAAAGTTCCTCAGACACAAGATAATGAGCTCTTCTTTGTCAAATTACATCTCGTAACTGCTGTAAAATCACTCAGAAGTCAGAACTATCCACTTCCCAATGTGTTTATACACTCATGAGATGGTTTATTGTTCAATGATCTCTCGCTTTTCCTATTTTCTGTCTGACTGATATAGGACCTTTGTTATATGTTGACTCATTGTTAATTTAATTTTCTTTCGAGGAATTGCAGTGTGCTTCTGTCAAATTTGATGAAGAAGGCGGCTCCAGGATTTACTAACAAAGATGAGGTTTTAACAAGGGAGTATGAATTGGTGCGTGAGGCTCTTTTCACTGATGAAGATGACCAAAGTGGCTGGTTCTATCATCTTTGGCTTCTTGATCAAACTGTCAGATCTGAGTTCCCTCTGCTTGTTTCTTCATGGCCGGTCGAAGGTTCTGATATTTCTCTGCCAGCAGCTGATTACCTGGATGGTTGTGCTTCTATGAATGTGTTCCATTACAGTTCCAGAAATTTTCCTCTCGTTCTTTACTTCAACCAATATGTCAGAGGTGTCAATTCATCTACTGTCAGTGTTTCGTGTGGGTTTAACCTAAACGCTGATCTTATTTGGAGACCTCTTTCTTCAAATGACTCTCAAAGTGCAAAAGTTTGGGCTACACATTTAGCCATCCCTGATGCAGAACTTCATTCTTCAGAAGCTTACCAGGTGGAGGTTAAAGTTGGATTTTCACTGGGAATTGTTTCAACTACTGGTGTAGCATATAGCCATCCTTCTCAGATTTCATTTCAGCTGCACTTACAAAAGGCCCCACTTGAATCTGGACAAGACTCAAGGTTTGGGAGAATTCAGTGGAAAGATGATTGTTTTGCTGTTTATGAACCTGGTTCTGTAGAACCTGATTTGGTTAACCTTCTTGACAATCTAACAATCAAGAATGAGGTAGAGTCAACAGCTTCAACCTGGCAAGCGAGAATCATTGATGACGAGACTAATATTTTTCGTGACTTATTGGACTGGTAATAAACTTACATTATACTATGTTGGCCTCATTATTCTCTTTGGGGGGAGCTGAGGGTAACACTGAGAAAATTGATAATGTTTGTTTTTTCTCTTTTTGTAGCAAAATTGGGAAGCTGACAGTGGCCAGGCTGTTGACTTCTTACAATTCATTGAGACCTTTGGATAAACCAGTCCATTGTAAGGAAGTTTTAGAGCTATACAGTGAGCTAATGAAGTTGGACCCTTCTCACTATCGATATTACAAAGATAATCACAGCTTGGTTTTATTGCAACAGGTTGGTTCTCATTCCTCTTTGACATTTATGTCTGAATGCAAATGAGAAAAAATATGTTCATTAGCTTCTTTTTGTCAAAAGTAATGCTTTGTGAATTTGACAATCTTTGATTGTTACGGAAATCGGAAATTGATCTGCCAACAATTCTGCAGGTGACTTCTAGTAAGGAGTCTTTGCTGAGTCGTTGTTTTCACTATAGGGACTCAACTCTGTCAACCAATGGTGGTCCCTTGTGTTTGCGACTAAACAACTTAGCAATTTCACAATTGGGATCGTTTGAGAAGTTGCTATGGGTTCAAATGTTGGACCTCAGCAACAATGAACTTCAATCGATTGAAGGTAACCTATTTTGTTTCTTTTCATTGAGACTTATCAACAGATTCCTTCTATCTAATTATATCGATCAACCTCGAGTCACTAATCTATTAACTTTCCTACCATCCTCATTGCAATTTTTTTTCTCTTAAGATCTTCTTTTGACCGTCTGTTATTGTTAAGGTGTTTTCTCTCATATGTTTAATCTTACCACAGGATTGGAGGCTCTGCAACTTCTCTCGCAATTGTGTTTGAGTAATAACAAATTCAGGAGTTTTACTGCTTTGGAGTCTTTGAGATGTTTGAAATCACTGAAAGTGTTGGATATTTCGCAAAACGAAATAGGTTCTCATTCCATCGACACCACCAGATATCTATTCCATTCTCCATTGTCCCATTCAGTAGGAAGTTGCGACTGGAATATCAATTATCTCAGTTCAAAAACATACTGGGAAGCTTTTTTCGTTCTCAAAGACATGGGGCTGACTCAGTTGGACGTGGCTGGGAATGCAATCACCAGTCAGAGTTTTAATGTGTTTCTGGAAAAGCTCCTGCCTACTCTCAAGTGGCTGGATGGTGTAGAAGTAAACTAACTTTCATCTTGATCGGAGAGCTTTTCAATCATGCTTCCATCACCAGAATTTGTGTACCCAAGTTATGTTTTGTGACACGCAACTATTTCTATACCCGAGATGTATTTTGATGAAACTCGTGACAGTAAATTTCCATCTTGTCTGATCCTATTATTTCTGAGAAGGGATGGGTAAGTAGGTGAATGCAATTTTCCTTTGGTAAATGAGCTTTCTTTAACCCTGTTATATTGGTTCTACTAACTTGGTATGGATTCATTGATTTGAGAAACAAGTATGCCTTGCAATCACACGCCATGGGAGATCTCAGATGGAAACATGTATGAAGCCTAAATACTGATGTTGCTGCTTCTCTGTAATTAGCATGCATTTCCTATTTCCAGGTCTTGACATTGCAAGCTGACCCGTATTTCACACAGGCGAGCGAGTTTACTTGCCGAGGCGAATCCTAACTAGATTGATGCTTCGGGATGAGGAGCAAAGCTTCAGAGGCTACAGGTATAAGAACTCCGTAAAGAACTTGGTATGAGGTCATTAAGAAGCTTGACTGACTTCCTGTGGTAATCGAGTCAATGCTGCTCATCGAAAATTTCTTGCACTAGCCTGTGCATTAGGAACATGGAATGATCTAATACATAGGGATACTAGACCTTAATGCTGTTCGTTGATTTTCTTACACTTCGATTATATGATATGATGGAACATCTTGCCCTAGTCATTGCTCACTTGACTTGCACAGTTGCATCCCCCCGCCAGGATTCCAGGAGTCAAGTATGAAGGCTTTCTTTCTTTGGGTTGAAAACTGTTACATGATTGACCTACTCTTTTGTTGCTTGGTAGATGACTTTTGTGTTAGAAGCCTCAATCTGCTCGCGTCTGTTAGGACCAGCCAGCACGGTCAAATACGAGCCACCTTCTACGGCTCACGAGAAGGAACAGCTCGTTGCTAGTCGTACTAACTCGATTCATTTCTGGGCAGTCGTGCTTAGACCATATATCTCAATCGATGAGCTTCCTTAGGCTAAACTTTCCAGATTGTAATCATAATGCCAGCACCAAAACCTTACAGGGTCTTATAAATATGCCTACATTGGGGCATTCATGCTAGTGTGATGGCGAACACCATATTGGACCATCATCCAATTAACATGGCAGAAATGTGGAAAGGTAACGTAAAGTAGACGGCAACAAAAAAGAAAGAAAACAAGTACATGAGCTTCTGAGAGTTGATCAAAAGAACTTTTTTTTGTGTGTGTGCGTTGGCTTGGAGATCCATTGAAACCAATGAGTTCATGCTTTCGAATGTTGTGAAGGGTTTTTCGGAGTTTCGGGCTGCTCGTGTTGGCCTCCAACTTACGATTCGATGCTAGAACCAGCTCTGTCAAGTTGGTATCGAGTGAGATGCTTATGTGATAATTCGTTTGTTTCAACAATGATTGGCTCATGGAGCTGTTGGGGTCTCTTTCCGCGTGACCGCTTCTAATCGTGGGCTTCTCTGGGCCTGTGTGCAAAGTTTGGTGTGATTGCTTGAGATATGAATTGAGAAGCTCGCGAAGTAATTTAGAACAAATAGTCATTTCTCCTTCGTCGAGATGAGAGTTTTTTGTAAATTTATCGACGAAGAATCAACTCTTGACAACAAATTGCGATTTCTTGGCTTTTTGATCGTTATCTCATGGAGTTAATGAGCAGTACGAGCTCTGTCATGTCGTGTATTGAGGAGACGTCCACTTTGTCATCATCAGTGTACTCTAAGAAAAGATTGATTCATGATGTTGTTTAGAACTTGTCCTTCATTGTCATCCATGGAGTATAGAGTTTAGTTCTAAATTCACTGTGACAACATAATACAGTTCTCTAGCCACTCGTATTTTATTTCTGTTTCCCTCAAATTTCGCTCCAAAATGATATTTTTTTATTTTCAAAATTTAAATAGCTCTAGAATTGCTAAATTCGTTAAAATCTGGGCCGGTCATCTCCGAGTCTCTCTCCTGTCTCTCGCTCCTCAAAAAAAGAAAATCTGGGAGAGAGAGAAAGCAGAAGAACCGAAGAGGAAGGCCAATTATCTAAACCGGAAATGCGAAATTAAAATAATTGGAAAAAAATGAAAAATGAAAATTAAATAGGCAGGCAGGCGGAGGAGCGGAGGAAGACAACGAAGAAAGGAACCCATCTCTTCTTCTCTCTTTTTTTTTCTTCTTCTTTTGCTTTGGGGTGGAAGAGAAGAGGGGAGAGAGAGAGGCAGAGATAGAGACGAGCGAGAGAGAGAGAGAGAGAAAGAAAGCGGAGGCGTTTGGTTTGGTTCCCCGGAATCTAACTGTTTCTCTCTCCTTTTCTCTTCTTCCCCCCTGAACCGAAAATTTTCTCGAGAGCGGGGCGCAAAGATTATCTTGAGCGAGTCTGAGGGGGAGGAAGAAAGAGAGAGGAGAAATTGTAAACGAAACCCTAATTTCCCCCACCCCTGAGCTTTCGTTTCCGGATGTGTGCGTGATACAAACCCAGAAATCATTGGGCCGGGAGCGGGTTTTGGGTTTTCTACCCCCTTGGATCTCCGATTTCCGCCGACGATGGCGATGGAGCTGGACAGCATCGAGTGCGTTTCTTCCTCCGATGGGTTGGATGAGGAGGAGATCCCTCACGACAATCTCCACCATCACCACCATCAGTTCTCTTCCGCCAAGCCTCACAATGCGGCCGCCAACAACAACGGCCGCGGCGCGGGTATCATCGGTATTCCCGGTCCCACCGCCATCGCTCCGGCCACCAGCGTCCACGAGTTGCTAGAATGCCCCGTTTGTACCAATTCTATGTACCCACCCATTCACCAGGTTCGTTTCCCCCTCCACAAATTGCGTCCTCTGATGTTGCCTCCCCGCGGAATTAACTTCTGATATCATGGAATTTGATGGGTCTATTTTGGATTTGAGGTTAGATTTGCGTTACTGGGTTGAATTGGGTTTCGACGATTCAGTGCTCCGATTGCATGATCTCGATCCAATTTCCAAACTTAGGGAGGTGGTTTGCGCTGTCTGGGAATGTTTGTGTTGAATCCAGACTTACATTCTGTGTTTGTTTATGGTTAGATTTGGCTTAATTTGGTTGGATATTGTTCATTCATATCATAATGTTGTGTGTGGGGATGGGAGGAATTACCTATGGATTTGGTTTCGTCGGTATTTGCATTTGAAGGAATAGAATGGAATATCTGATCATGTGATCTTAGAGGGAATGGGATGGATATACTCTGTTTTAACTTGTTCCTCCATCAACATTCTCTGTAGCAAGAGAATATTTGGGAGCTAGATAAGGATAAGAGAGAAGTTATTTGTAATTATAATTGACATAATGATTGGTATTGGAGAAATTAATGACAACCTTAGCTGGAGCAAAGTCCAAAGCTTGGGTCCTTCACTCTTCATGTTGGAGGAAAGTCCAAAGCTTTGGTATCTTCTTCAAGAGTAGTTGATAATCTATGTCTTAATCCTTGCATCATTGTTCCTGGAAATTTTCAATTCTCTTCAAGTATAAGTCTTCTGGATGCTTGTTTTACACAATACATGATGGTTAACTTCTAATAGTGGTGCAATATGAAGCATAATATGCGAATCATTGCTTAAAGTTTATTTTTCGGTAACTTGTGCATGGAATTTCTCTCTTCTTCAAGTCTATTGTGACATTTGTTGTTTCAATTGCCCAAGTAATACTTTTTTCTCTTTTTGGTTGTTATCCAAAAATTGACTGTCTCTTAATGCATTTGTCTTTTAAATTCGCTGAATTGCAACATTATTCTTTCTCTTTGCATTATGTTCCCCGTTTGTAGGTATCTCCATTTTGTATTTACCCTATTTGTTTGACAATACAACAAATTGCCAAAGGTGCGACATTTGTTCTGTTATGATTTGGTTTCTGAACTACGTTGCTCACTGCAGTGTAGCAATGGACATACACTCTGCTCGACTTGCAAAACCAGGGTACATAATCGGTGCCCAACTTGTAGACAGGAGCTTGGAGACATTAGGTGTTTAGCACTTGAGAAGGTGGCAGAATCTCTTGAATTGCCCTGCAAATTTTACAATTTGGGGTGCCCAGAGATATTTCCTTACTACAGCAAACTCAAGCATGAGACAGTTTGCAACTTCAGACCATACAACTGTCCATATGCTGGATCGGAATGCTCCGTTGTTGGTGATATTCCTGCTCTTGTTGCTCATCTACGGGATGATCACAAGGTAGATATGCACACGGGTTGCACATTCAACCATCGCTACGTGAAGGCTAATCCTCGTGAAGTCGAAAACGCCACTTGGATGTTGACGGTAACTTTTAGCTGTACTCAAAGGATATTCTTTCATTATATCCGAAGCAAAGAATTGAATCTGTCTCTGAGGCTGAACTTGTTGAAAGTGTGTTTTTGAGAACGGAATATGACATCTACAAGCAACCCTCACTCACCTTTCAACTCAACCCTGCAAAAGTTGGAAATACAAGAATGATATTAGTAACGGAATAGCATATTAGCTTGGCCTTGCTCAAAAAATTGTTTTGATGTCTAATGTACTTCTGGGTCTTGCATGAAGGATTTCTTGATTTAAATGCATAGTTAACAGCCTACTCTGAGAGAGTAAGCTTTCGATTGGACTCTTATATTCTATCTGCAGCTGCAGGCATAGTGTGAATAGCTTAAGAATAATAATGAAACTGACAATTTTAGGATCTGTTTTGTTTGGTCTGTTTCTATTCTGATGTTATATATTTGTGTTAACTGCGTTATATTCATTTTGCTTAATACTATGTTAGGTATATTTTCAAAATCCATTGTTTGGTTTAATGCATTGCACAGGATATTCTGTAAGTAACCCCAAGCATAAGATTGCATAATTTTGATTCATATCAAATGGTTGCAGTTCGAAATACATCAAAAGTGTCAACGGAAAATGTTATATTTGTTCAATTACACGCTATTGTGCAGTATCAGTTGCTCTAGCAGTTAGCAATTACTTATTATCAAGCTTCTCCTTGCCTGTGTTTTCCTCATCTGGGTATGAACTATTTCCAACTACATAAACATGGTTTCGATTTTGTGGCAACTCATCACAATGCATCTTTGCTGCAGGTATTCCATTGCTTTGGTCAGTATTTTTGTCTTCATTTCGAAGCCTTTCAGCTAGGGATGGCTCCGGTCTACATGGCATTCCTGCGTTTCATGGGGGATGAGTCTGAGGCTCGTAACTACAGCTACAGCCTCGAGGTTGGAGCAAATGGGAGGAAGCTCATTTGGGAGGGGACTCCACGAAGCGTAAGAGATAGTCACAAGAAGGTGAGGGATAGCCATGACGGTCTCATTATTCAAAGAAACATGGCTCTCTTCTTCTCCGGAGGGGATAGGAAGGAACTGAAGCTGAGGGTTACCGGCAGGATCTGGAAGGAACAACAGAATCCGGAAGCCGGTGTGTGCATACCAAACCTTTGTAGCTAAAACAAAAAAAGAAGAAGAAACAGATGAACTGTAATTTTGGGGATGATTTCAGGTAATTGTGTGTGGGGTTGGTACTCTCTCATGTGTGTTGTGTTGTTTGGAATTGTCATGTGACTGAAAAGCTGTCAATTTTTCGTTGTCTTCGTAAGTGTTGTATAATGAAAGCAACTCGTCTTCCTTGCTACACTTCAGCTGCCACTATGATCAAGCCAGTTCCCATCTCTCTTTAGTCTGCGGTTTGTACTTGAAGTTGCCTCCTTCGTTGAGACGCTGCCAGTTCATTCCCGAGTTGGCCAATCATTCGGTCGACATTGGATCTTGAATTCGACCTATTGATGTTTGGATGAAACTAGACAGTACTGAAGATTGTTCTAGTTTTGATACATCCACTTTACGTACACACTAGGAAGTCCGCTAAATCAATATTGAATCCGCTCAATATAGATTGTTCTATGAATCAACTTGATATTCAATCCTTCGCTCCAACTCTGAATCAGATCACATCGTATCAATCCCTATACTCCCGCGGACAAGACTGGAAAGAGTGAAAGTGATTTGAATTTTTTTTTTCTCATTGTAGGAAAATGGGATTTGGCAATTGCGTAGGAAAATCCAACTGAGAGTTGGAGAAGAAGCAGACTTTCCCGCCCATTTCTGATTGGGCCTAACTCAAACCAGGCCCGGTTTTGTGGAACGACGGCTGAATACCTCCAGACAATTGGCCGATTCATAAGTCGACGCGTGGCTTGTACAACTTCTGCAGTCTGCCATTCTTCCCCCGCTACCTGCAAGCTGCTGCAGCTGTACCTTCAGTAACTAGCCAGTAAGCAGAGAGTAAGAGAGAGAAAGGGGAAAGCAGGCTTCTTTCTCTTCCGCTTTCGTCAAATTTCTTCTCCACTCTTCACAGTACCTTCCTCCTACCAGTACAGCATTGAGAGAGAACCAAAAATGGCGTCCTCAAGAAGTGTAAGGAAGCGGAGGACCGATGCTGCCGAGGCAAAGAGCGTTGAACTCCGTTCCGGGAGAAAGAAGATAGAAAAAACAAAGAAAACACCAAACCCGAAGAAGGAAGCGCCAAAAAAGCAAGGTGGAGACGAAGAAGGGCCTCGCAGGAGATCGAGTAGGCTGCAATGCACTCCCAACCCTCCTCCCTCTGCTTCGCTGAGAAAGAAACCCAACATTCAGGTGACCTCTGCTGTCAATAAAAAGGGCTCATTTTTCTCTATTGTTCTGTGTCCTTCTTGGTTTTAGGGTTTCTAACTTGGTTTGAAACTTGAAAGTCAAGAGATAGGTGGAAATGCTTCTGCACCCCTTTTCCTCCTATGGTTCGTTCTGTTTCTGGATGGGTTTTAGTCGATCTTGTCTCTGTTGTTCTCTGAGGATGTGAAACCCTTAAAGTTTGAGAAGCAAGCAGGGTTTTGTTTTTCTTCCAGTGACTTAGTTTGTGTGTAGCCATCTTCCTGCTCTTGAACAGCCATGTCTGACTTAGAGAGAAGCTTCCCAAGTGGGGGATTTTGATTTCTACACCTTCCTTGCCTGTTCTCTTCCAATGATGGGTTCTGTAATGCCTAATCTTTTTTGGTGAAAAGTTCTGCAAAGGCTGTGGAAGGTGTTTGATTAGGGGATTTTTACAATGTTGTTGTTGCTGTTGTTGTTGGGCAGGTGTCCTTCCCAGACATCACTCCCAGATCCTCAAACCGCAAATCAAGTCCCATCCTCACCCCTTGCATGGTTGGCTTGGCTGCTTCCAAAAGGGTGAAGGAACCTGAAAAGGTTGCTCATCAGCAAGAACCTTACTACGATGCTCCTGCTCAACTGTCACAATCAGATGAGGAAGATTCCAGCAGCACATCTCCTGGACAGAGATATCGGGATATCATTGACGACATTGCTGCATCCGTATTGACCTCGAATCTCATTACTTTACCCTTCTCTTTATCTTACTCCATCTTCATTGAATCAAATGGACGTTGTATGTTTGTGATGGGAATTGGGATTATAACTTTGAATATACCAGGTGCGTCCTCAACTATTTGGAGCTGGAATTGGTGCTATGAGGGATGAAACAGTGGTACCTGGTAGTGGGATCTTTGCTCCAGCTCCAAGTTTAACAGCAGTGTATAGCGAAGAAATGCCAGTTGAAAATGGTATTACTCTGAAGAATTTGCTGCTCGGAGATGGAGAGCCCTCCAACCTGATGGAAGGATCTAAAGTGAACTCCACAAGTGCTTTACATTTACAATCAATGGAGGAAGAAAACTCTCACAATGGAACTGGCCAAGTTGTGGTCAATGCCAAAGAGGTCTCTTATGCAGCAGAGGATTCTGGTCAATGCCTTAGTTTTGGGTTGACTCAGATGGAAGATATGTTCGCTGATGAGGTTGATAGACTTGATGAGGTGGATTGTCCTGCATTTGTGACAGTTGGTCGATATAGGGTGAAGGAATCATGTGCTCCCGTTCTGCGAACTATCATCAGAAAATATGGAGATATCGCGGCCAATTACACTCTCAAATCACCAGAAAACCGCGCTCGTGCCTTGGAAACAGTTTGTGAATGTTTCCCTTCATTCCAGACCAGAAAGCTTAATGAGGTTGACCCAACGAATGTTGGTAAAGCACTTGATGTCCTTAATGACTTGAGAGAGGCAGGGTTGTATATTGGCTGGATTTGTGAGAGGTTGGAGCAGATTGTAAAAGCAAAGCAGGTGCTGAAACAGGCTTCTGAGATGAGACAAGCGAAGGATAAATGGAGTGAGCTCTATGTGGAGAAGCAATGGCATTTGAAGGAGATAGAGAGAGACAACAAACTGCTTAAACGAAAGCTGGAGGAGAAGGAAAGTGAGATGGAGGAGGAGGCAAGACAGCTTGAGGAGCAGAGAAGAAAAGTTGATGAGAAGGGAAGAGAGAAAGATGAGCTTGAGAGACAAATGATGGAGGGAGAAGAGAAGTTCAAGTCTGCAAAAGCGGGAGCGCAGGATGCACTTCGCGAGTTCCAGCAGGTGCAGGAGAGGATACGCGATGCCAAGACTACAGTGAGGTCCTTGGCTGCTTGTTATGTCATGGATGGACTTCTATGAGGACTTTGGTCTGGGACTGGGAACTCAAGAACACTCTTACATATCTAATTGCTTTCTGTTTACTAAAATAGTCATCAACAAGTAGAATGTTGACTCTAGGAGGAAGTGTTAAAAAGTCTGGATATCTAAAGGCTCACAGATCTGCCATGAGAGGCGGTGAACGCACCCATGCATTTTGTATCTCGATCCAATTTGCAAATTTGCAGAGGGATTTGCAGTCTGGTTTCGTCATCATTTGATCTTGTAAGGAATGGAATGGATATACTCTGTTTTAACTGGTTCCTCCATCCAACTATCGGAATTGATAACTGCGTACGAAACGCATCAGATAATTGCAGAACAGAACTACTTATTGAAGTGCAGATAGAAATGAACAGAAGGCGCAGTCTCTAAACTTAGGCATCCTCCAACATTGAAACCCTTCAAACACATTTGACTCACTGCGCCTAGAACTCAACACTCCCCCTCTCATTTCCCAGCTATTGTTTAATTACATGCTAACAATAGATCGCAAAATCAGATGAATGACCTTAACATGGCTTGATAAAGGGGTGGCAAATAACAGTACTTGGGGTGGCAAATAACAGTACTTCACCATCTTTCAAGCTCTTACCTCGTCTTTCGAGTCTTCTGAATCACCAGATACAGTAGCTTTCTCTATGGGTTGGTCTTCACCCGCTGCAGATTCTGCAGCGGCAGGAGCTGCCTCATTAGCATTAGCATCATTTTCCTCTGCAGAACCTGTCTCCACTTCCTTGTTCTTAGGTGGGAACAGATTGGCGATGGAAATTTTCGCCCTTCTCTTGGTAGCCTCAGCTTCTTCAATCTCTCTCGCCTTAGCTTCCGCCTTTAGCCTGGCTTTTTCTTCCATAAGCTTGTCCAGTTCATCTCCTCTCCCTTCCTTGTTCAACTCGCCTTTCACTATCTCCTGAAGCTCCTCATTCACGTCGATAGACTCATCATCCAGCATTGCATCGACCAATTGAAGCACTTCGTTCAACCTCCCATGATCACTTAGAGCTTTCATTATGAACTTATAGCTCTCATTGTTCATCCTCAGTTTCTTCACCATCAGCTCGTAAAACGACTTTGCCTCGTCAATCTTCCCAGCTTTAACCAACTGATCAACCAATCTATCATAAACAGGCAAGTCCGGTCTCAGCCCAGAATCGACCATCTTCCTAAAATATGCAGCACCATCATCAATTCTACCCTCGTGAAAGCAAGCATCCATCAATAAGCCAAAGGTGTACTCATCCGGTTTCACCCCCTTTCCATCCATGTCACCATAAACCTCTTCAGCGTCAGCTAACAACCCATTTTTGCACAATTGATCCATCAAGTTATTGAAGGATGCGTTATCGGGGCTGCACCTGTAATCACCCATCTTCCTGAAAACCTCAATGGCATCCTTAAACCTCCCTTGCAAGCAATACCCATCAGCCATAACGTTAAAGCTTCCAAGATTAACCGCCAAACGAGTTGGAGGTTTGTGCTCTAGAAGCATACGTTCGAACAAGTTCAAAGCCTCATCAAACTTACCATTCTTGCACAAAGCATCGAGCACAGAGTTGTAGGCAATAGCACTCATCTTGACCTTCGAATTCTCACCAACGGCTTCCTCGTAACAATCCATGGCCTCCTTCTCCATTCCTCTCATGAAGTAACCTTTCATCAGCGCTCCATAAACCACACCATCAGTCACAACTCCACCATCAAGCTTCTGCTTCAACTCCTCGTACAGCTTAAAGACTCCATCAGCATCATTGTTCTTCACACAGCCCACCATCAAGTAATGATAAATGAGAGGGTCAGGAGAAAAAGCTTCGTTCACCACCATCTCTTCCTTCAACTCCAGAGCCTTCTCCACCATACCGTTGTTCACTAACCCTTCGATTAAAATCCTGTAAGTCGTCGGAGAAGGAGCCACGGGAGCGTCATTGATCAGCTGCTTGTAAATCTCCATCGCCGTATCCGGTTTCCTGCAGGTCAAATAAGTCTGAAAGACCAGATTGTGGGTGATCACATTGGGAGCGATATTTGCTTGAATGATGAAACGGTGAAGGGAGAGCAAGTCCGCAAATTTGCCCTGGCGGAGCTGAGCGTTGAGCACGGCATTGACGGTGTAGATTGTGGGGCGGCAGTTGGAGTAGACGGAATGGCGGGTGTAAAGCGCCGCCTCGGCGAGGTCGTTCTCCCTGATCAGGGTGAGGATGCGGTTGTGGAGATTCAGCCGGTTGCCGGAGAGGGCGGAGACTGGTTCCGGCAGCTTGAACTCGTTAGCACCCTGACTGGGTTTCTTGGGTTGCTGGGATTGCTGCTGCTGGGCGCGGTGGGCGGAGGAGAGCGGGGGTTCGATGCGGAGGCGGCGCTTGCGGCGGCGGCGCTCTGCCTCGGCTTCTTCCGGGCTGGAGAAGGAGAGGAAGCGGATAGTCACGCTGGACGGCGGCGGAAGGGGACGGGGGTGGTGGCGGAAGGGGATGGATAGGGTTTTGAAGCGGGTGAAGAGAGCGGGTTTGGAGAGCGCCATGGATAGGGTTTTGGAGAAAGTGTGGAGATGGTGGAGAACTGGAGATGGAGATTCGACAGCGATGGAGAGGCGTGAAGGTTCGAGGGTTCAGGGTTTTGTGTGCCAAATGGGAAGATTATGGGATTAAAATTACCAAAATGGTCACCAAACTGTATGACGTAACCAAATAAGTCATCAAACTTTTGTTTTATGGCAAGATAGACCCTTGAAACCTCAACAACATGAACCATAACAAAAATATATACCTACACTTATACATGACAACATGAGAATCAAACTCTCCCGGCCAAGAGCCGGGCCATAATCTAGTTATTATTTAGGCAAAATTTGAAAATACATATGGGTGGCCATTGGGTGGGTCGGGCTGATTTTGACCATAAAATGTACCCACCCACGCTTAAACGGATTGATAATTTTTAACCCACCACCCACCCACATTTAATCTCGGGTTGGGTTGGGTATGGTGGATGATGCGGGTGGATCTGCGGATTCACCCACATCACAATGTACATAATTCAAAGGAGTCAATTTGACATAATAATCGATGGAGAGTGTTATCGCGCGAAAACAAGACGATGGAATAGGGGAAAATGTTGAATTAGTTCTGAAATTTTATTGAAATTCCATTATGGAGGATTTTTCTACAGATGGAGATGATTATCAAGCGCAAAGAACTAAGGAAAATAATTCACTGGAGGAAAGAGAGGTGATCTAGGCAAAAGAATCAAAGGAAAAAATAAAGGGAAGAAGAGCGGTTCTTGATTTGTAAGATTGGTTTTGAGGTTCAATCCCCAAGAACAACCCTAGTTTCCGTCTAACGTCTCCACTCTCTCCAGGGCCTACGACTTTGTTCTTTTTGCTATTGGGTTAAGCGGGTAACCCGCGCACCCGCCCACAACCCACCCGCCACCCGGCGGATAGCTCCCAACGCAACCCGTCACCCACCCACATAACCAAAATTCGAGTCAAATGCAGGTGGGTCGCCCCAAACCTGTGGATGATCCGCCCACATGCCCAACCCTACTATTAGCCATAACTTTGGGCCGGGTTTGGGTTTAAACCCGTCACTATTCACCGGGTTGGGTTGAGTTTGGGTTTAGGTAAACCCGCCTCATGGGTACCCGCCCACACCCATATAATTAATTTTCTCGGTATATTTAATATTCTAAAATTTAAACAACTAATCATATTTATGTTTGTGGAGACATGTCTAATTTTTTCTTTATAATTGTGTAGAATGAAGTTGATGTTATCGAGTGGAGAGTGAAGAAACTTAATTTAAAGGAAGAAGTTTTGAATTAATCATGTTATTTATGGATAATTTGTGATTTGCTTCAATTTTCTTGAGTTCTCTAGATTGGTGTTGAACAATTTGTATAGTTAATTTGTGATTTGCTTGAATTTTCTAGAATGGTGTTTTATATATGGATAATTTGTATTGGGAGATTGATATTTGACTTTAATTTTGATAGGAACTTGTTATTCTAAATTTTTTACGACAAAAGTCCATGGGTACCCATGAACCCGCGGATACCCAGTGGGTTGGGTTGGGTTTGAGTTTTTCAAACCCAGTGGGTTTTACCCCGAGTTTTTTTCACGGATAAACCCATGGGTTTGGGTTTGACAAACCCGACCCATTGTCATCCCTAGGCTAAACGTCGCCCTAATTTTACAATTGTCGCCCTAACTTAAATTGCCAAATTAATGAATTGTCCTTCATTAATCAATCCTAATTAATGAAAAGAATCAAACCCTCAAATCCCTAATCCTCCTTCAACGTCCTACTCTCTGCACTCCGTCGCCATACATTCTCCCCCGACGTTGAATTGTTCCTGCTGCACAGAGCCACAACCTCGAGTCCCGTCAGAAGCGAACAAACGTCAACCAAACGAGACGACGGAGGGTGTCGACTGAATTCTTGAGCGTACAATTTGGCGGCGATTTCCAAAACAGAAGTGGAAGTAGAGCAGCCGAGGAAGTCTCTGTGGTCGCGAGCTCGATGTCGTTGGTCGGCTGGTAGTATTCTAGGGCGTTGGATGAAGAAAGCAAAAGGGACAGAGGGGATGAGGGCGGTAAAAAAAAAAAAAAACAAAGATTAATCTAACAGCGGAATCAAGGAAGTAGGGACTAGAGATAAGTTTTCGTTGTTGTCGTCGGGTAGAAGCTGACAAAACATTCCTTAAACCCTGTAAATTGCACTCTTCTTCTGTATCTGTCCTCATAGTCCAAGAATAAAAGAAGCAGGTGCTTGGATTCTTATGTTGAGAAATCGGTTTTTGTTAAATCAATGGCAATAAACATAAGAAGTCATGGAGACAATCATTGTTGTTGTTCTTATTTGGAGTTTGTCCGGAGCGGAAAATGGAGTGGTGAGAGCAGGGCTTCTCCTTTTGAAAATAAGGTGTTGCAGCCTGAACTTCAGTTAGCATGGGACACTACATGAGACGGAGCGATCAATAACATTCAATCGTTAGCTGAAGGTTTTAGGGCTTGACTTATCGAGTTTAGGATGTGTAGGTCTCCTGTATATATCCTTAGAGAATGCAATAAATGTGTGATTTAACACGTTAGTTTATGTTGCAGTTTTTGTTGGAGTTCCGTTGTATTTCTCATGTTATTCTCCTATTACGCCTTCTGACATTTTAAATTATTTGGAAACTCAAAATTCTTAGGGTTAATAGCATTTTGTACCCCTATACTATTGTAAATTAATAAACGTACCTTTTTACTATATTTTTGCACAAACATACCCCTTATAATTTTAAAACGTAACGAATGTACCCTTCAGTCTAATTATCAGTTAAAAAAGCTGGAAAATGGCCCAATTACCCCTCCATTACTCATAATTTTAGTTTTAATTATTTTATTTCTTTCTTTCTTAAGAGAATAAACCCTAGAAAAATTCACCCAGTCACAAGAAACCGTCCGTATCCCTGGCGGTTCGTCCCTCGGCGGCGCCTGCTCCCCGGTTTCCCTCGCCGTCGCCTTGGTACTGGAGGCGCCAGGGTCGGGCGAGCCAGAGCATCTCGTTGGGATTCCAGACCGGGCTCACTTACTTCCCTTTCTGTGTCTGATTAATCTGCAGCTGTTGGTCCACGACGGCGGCGGAGGAGAGAGATGAACCAGGGGAGTGGGTCGTGGACGAGGTGGCCGTGTCAGACGAGAAACCAATAAGGGCTGCAACAATGGCTGATGTTGACGTTGTGTCTGCGGCTGGCGGGTTTGGGTTGGGACTTGGGAGGAAGGGGAGAGGAGCTTCCATTGGGAGCTGGCGGAGGAGTAGCGGAGGCGCGCTTCGGGGTAGTCTAGAATTGTGGTTCGAAAGGGTTGCTGGCTGCGGCGGGAAACTGCTGCGGCGAGCGGCCGCTGTTCGGGGAATTCTTCGTCTCCTCTCGGGGAAGAGGAAGAAGAGAGCTTGTGCTGTTGTTGTTATACAACTTGTACTTGCAAGTTGCAATGGTGGGTTTTTTTTAAGTGTTTTGTTCTTTTAATTATTCAATTCATTTGGAACATAAATAATTAAAGCTAAAATTATGAATAAAGTAGGGCAATTGAGTCGTTCATTTAACGGTCACTTAACTGATAATTAGACGGAAGGGTAAACTCGTTACGTGTTAATATTAGAAGGGTATGTTTGTGCAAAAATTTAATAAAGAAGTACGTTTGTTAATTTACAAGAGTAGAGGGTACAAAATGCTATTAACCCAATTTCTTATTAGTTATCAATGAAAATTAAGACATGAATTGCATTCCGTTAACTCAAAAAGAAAAAGAAAAATAATATGTTGTCACCTCACCAATAGAGATAACATGCTATCCTTTCTCCTTTTATCTTTTAATTAAGTTTATCACCATTAACCAGATGGATGCAAAGACGAATGCAACAAAGAGTCTGCAAAGCTTGGATGTAAATGGAAATCAGTCTCAAACGGTGGTTGATGGAATTGGGGACGCGGAATTGGAGAGCCCTCAGGCAGCGCCTGCCACCTGAGATCCCTTGCGCTTACCTCTTACCTTTCTTTTATTTCCCTCTCTTTCTCCTTGGATTTTATTACGTCTGTTAATCATGTTTTCAATTTTAAAATCATGTCCTGTAATGTAAATGGGGCAGGAAGCGCGGCCTTTTCCAGAGCTCTTAAGTTTATGGTGCAGAACTAGAAGCCTGATTGCCTAATTCTCTTGGAACCTCAGATTAGCTGGGATGTTGCTGACCGAGTTTGTGGAAGAATGGTTTTCCAAACGTTTTGCGTATAGAGGCGGATGGTAGGAAGGGAGGAATTTGGCTTTGTTGGAATGTTGCCTGTTATCATGTGGAGTTGGTGTCAGCGTGTTTCCAACACTTGACGGTCAAAGTGACTTCGAATTCCTCCCCTCCCTGGCTGCTCACCGCGGTTTATGCTAGCCCGCAACCCAGTCTGCAGCATCACTTGTGGCAGAACATTCATTACAATCATGATTCTTTTGATCTCCCCTGGTTGCTCACAGGTGACTTCAACGCTATTCGGACACCGTCGGAGCAGTCTGGACAGACCACAACCAGTACCTTTCGCCGCTGCAAGGTTTTCAACGATAGGATCAATCAAGCGGAACTCATTGACTTAGGCTTCTCTGGGCCCCGCTTCACCTGGTCCAAAGGGGAGGAGTCAAGTTCTTACAAAGCAAGTCGCATTGATAGAAGCCTCTGCAACGCGGTCTGGAACTGCATCTTCCCCAATACGTCGGTTCACCATCTTCCTCGACTGCACTCGGATCACCATCCGATCCTTACCGTCATTGGAAATCAGGGAGTCCCTTCCTCTTTGTATCAACGTCCTTTCCGCTTTGAGGGAGCATGGTTTACTCATGAATCCTTTGATGATTTCTTGGCAGCCAAATGGGATGGCCATGTGCCACTTCACGAAGCCCTCCAAGCAATTGCTAAGGAGCTGACAGATTGGAACCGTGATACTTTTGGAAATTTTTTCCACAGGAAACGAAGACTGCTAAGGCGAATTGCGGGTATCCAGGCTAAGGTTGCCAATGCCTTCTCTCCGGGACTCTTTAAATTCCAAAGAAAGCTGGAAAAAAGTTGGATAAAGTACTCGAGCAAGAAGAGATGATCTGGTTCCAGAGGGCGAGGGAGAGATGGGTGCAGTTTGGGGAGCGGAACACTTCCTTCTTTCACCAGCAGGCCAACATCAGGAGGCGGCAAAATCGGATAGAGAGTTTTAAATGTCCTAGTGGGGTTTGGATTTCAGATCCGGCAGAGCTGGCCACTCTTGTTTTCGAGTTTTTCTCTTCTTTGTATTTGTAGGATTGCCAGGACTACACTGACCACATGCCAAAGCAGCGTTTCCCCGGGATTCCCCAGGAAGGTCTTCTTCAGCTTCTCAAGCCTTTCTGTGAAGTTGATATCTTCAGAGCTGTGAGTGAGATGAAGCCTTTTCAAGCCCCGGTGTTTTTCCAACACTCCTGGCAAGTTGTGGGCAAAGCGCTCATAGAGATGGCTATGAGTTTTTTTGCCAGTGGTTTTCTTCCGGATAGGGTGGTGGAGTCAACTGTGGTCCTCTTCCCAAAGGTGGATCACCCCGAGCTAGTTTCACAGCTCCGCCCGATCTCTCTCAACAATGTGTGTCTTAAAGACATCACGAAGGTAATCACCAATCGCTTGAAGCCCATTATGCGAAGACTTGTCTCGCCGAGACAAAGTAGCTTCATCCCTAGAAGACAGACGGCAAACAATATTATTGTTTTGCAGGAAGTTATTCACTCTCTAAGGAAAAATAAGGGTAAGAGAGGCGGTTTAGTCATGAAGATTGATCTCGAGAAAGCCTATGATCGACGGCGTTGGGACTTCTTGCGGGACACTCTTAAGGAGATTGGTCTACCCAGCTCTTGGATCAATTGCATTATGTTCTGCATCGAGAACAACAAAATGCGGCTTCTTTGGAACAGAGAGCTCTCAGACCCGATCACCCCCACCAGAGGAGTTCGCCAGGGAGACCCTATATCCCCTTACCTCTTTGTTTTGTGTATGGAGCGTCTATCGCATAGAATTGATCAGGCCATTGAGGACAAGCTTTGGAATCCCCTAAGATTGTCTAAGGATGGACCTCCCCTGTCTCACCTCTTTTTTGCAGATGACTTGTTCTTATTTGCAGAGGCAGAGGGAGGCCAAATCTGTATCATCAAACAAAGCCTTGAGGAATTCTGTCATAGATCCGGACAGCGGGTCAACTACAACACGTCTGCCATCTTCATCTCGATTAATGTCTATAGACGCCAAGCGGGAAGACTAGCTAACCGGGCAAGGATTCCTTTGACAGTGGATCTAGGGAGGTATCTGGGAGTAATGGCGATTCATGGAAGAGTCACCATGACCAGATATCAAGACCTTCCAGAAAAAACTTGCCCCATGGAAAGCTAAGCACCTATCTCTTGCGTCTAGAATTACCGTTGTTAAATCCATTGTTGCCTCTATTCCTATCTACCCTATGCAGACTGAACTCTTGCCTATGAACATATGCAAAGGTCTAGACAGAATAAATAGAAGCTTTCTTTGGGGAGACACCGAGGAGAAGAAGAAGATGCATCTTGTTGGGTGGCCACAAGTCACGTTGCCCAAGATTAACGGAGGTTTGGGGTTGCGTCCGACAAGGAAGGTTAACCTGGCTATGCTGGCAAAGGGGGGATGGCGGCTTCTTCAAGAAAAGGAGACCTTGTGGGTCAAGCTTATTCGCAATAAGTATGGGCGAGGGCGTGATCAGTTAGAGCTCCTGAGGCCTTTACAGGGAAGTTCCTTTACCTGGAACAACATTACTAAAGCTGCTGACCTGGTTAAACAGGGAAGTGCTTGGAATATTCACAAAGGTAACCAGACTAAATTTTGGACTGGTATATGGCTTTTGCAGACTCCCCTTGAAGATGTGACGACAGGTCCCATTCCGGAAGGGGATCGCGAGGCGAAAGTTGCTGAGTTCGTGGAAGAAGACAGGAGGTGGAAGACAACAAAGTTCAACAACCTCCTCCCACTAGAGATTCAGCACCAGATCACGACCTATGCGGTGGACCCTCTGGCGGCAGAAGAGGATGTTCTCTTTTGGAAACCCACCTCCGATGGAAGATTCACGACCAAGAGCGCTTTCCACATGATTCACCGTCCTCCTGCTAACTCCTAACAGCAGACGTGGAAGGGGATTTGGAAGCTACCGGTTCCTGAAAGAGTCCGATGTTTTGTGTGGCTTGTGGTGCATGGGAGGGTCAGCTGTAACGAACAGAGAAAGAGTAGACACCTCACGGAGGAGTCTAGCTGTTACAGGTGCTCTACTCAGGATGAGACTATCCTGCATATGCTTAGAGATTTCCCACCGGCAGCCTTCATGTGGGCTCGCACAGTGCAGCCAGATGGCCAGCAAGACTTTTTCAGCCTCCCTTTTGAGCGGTGGCTTCGGGATAATTTGAAAAGAGAGGATGCCACGACAGCAGGGATCCCATGGAATGCGTTCTTCAGTATCGCTCTATGGAGTCTAAATATTATTCATTAATGATTCTCTTTCTCTCTCCCCTTGATCTTCTCCATAACCATCTCTCTCCACTACAATTAAAAGGAAATTCGAAATTAATTTAATTAAATATTATTATTTAATATTAATAAATTCGAACTTAATATTTTTTATTTTTTAAAATGAAAATTGAAATTAAAAATATATGCTCTCTCTCACTTCGTGGCAACTTGCAATACAGTATTAACATTTTGCAATGACATTATCAACATTTATGAAATGAATCGTTATTATTATACCTCATCATTATTAACGACTTCAATATACTTATCAATTCCTTACAATTACATTATTAACAATTTTGGATCAATTGTTACTATTTTATAGTTTCGTCATCAACATCTTGGGTACTTGTGACATAGTGTACCTGTGTGATTCAGTCAAACAAACATTGTCCAGAAAAATATTAGCTCAAGCAAACCAACATTCACGCCTCAACACCAAACTTTTAATAACAATACAATAAATCATTGATAACGAAAAGTATTTCGTTGAAAATAAACACAAAACATCAATGTAAAAATGTTCGACTTCAACATTATAAATGACATCAAACTTTTAATAAAGATATTAAAAACCATTAATATCAAATGATCGAGTCACTGATAAGGAAATAGATTTTTATAATATAAAAATATTGATAATATTCAGATGCAATGTTTAATGTCAAATAGCACTAAAAACGCATTAATAAGTAACATGTGTTTAATGGATAATGCATCCAAAAACTTTGATTATGATATCAACTAATGATTGTTAAGTACCTTATTAGATATTATTAAATCTTATTTTCAAACATTGATAATGCTTATACACGCCTATTAATAATGACACCAAGCTACGTTACTAACTTAGACTGAAAGATTAATAACCATAGTTATATCATTAAACGTTAATTCACTTTTGATAATGTCATAAACAAACGAATATCTAACAAGTATGCTTCTTGATAATGACATTTGATAAAGTTACAAACATAAACGAAAAAATATTAATAATTCAAATCACTAAACATAAGCAATCTTACAAATGAATTAAATTTTTGCTAATGGTTGTATTGTGCTTGGAAAAAAATATTGATAATAGCACTTCAAATGATTATAAATCAGTGCGAACCAAATTGATAATACAATGTAATAGTAAATAAACTTCAAGTACCAACAAATTGAAAACACAATTTCACTTTTACTAATGTTACAAACAAAACCTAACATAAGAAGTTAATAATGTTATATAAAATTATTAAAAAACATGTCGAACAACATTAATAATAACACAAACGAATACCTAACAACGAAAAATCTCAAACCCATGCAATGAAAAGCCCTAATGATGATTCAATTTATAAATATTGATAATGTCATTACAAAATGTTAATACTTAATACTAATCGAAAGTTGTCAAGATGTGAGAGAGGCATATATTTTAAATTTCAAATTTCCATTTTAGAAATTTTTTTTATTAAATTCGGATTTTATTAAATATTAAATAAAATTAATTTCATATTTCTTTTTAATTATAATGTAGAGAGAGGGTTATGGAGAAAATCATGGGAGGAGAGAGAAAGAGAATCATTAATTAATTATATTAATTTTAATTATATTTGCATAACCCTATTTACCCTTAACTACCTATTAACTACTAACCCCCATTAACTACCTAATCCACTATCAGCCAATAGGAAGGCTTTAAGATTTTCCTTAAGAAATGAGGCTTAAGGACTTGAACTCAAGCCCACCTTTCACTCACGCAGGCGATTCGAATCAAAGCAGAATTTTGGTACAGGGCTTGGACGGCTCCGTCTTTTAATCCAGGGAATCGCCAGGGTCCTCCTTTACGGACTGCAGCAGCTATCGGATGGAGGCCTCCACCTCCGGGATGGACGAAAATCAACGTTGATGGTGCATCCTCAGGAGAGCCGCAGCGGGCTGGAGCGGGAGGCATTGTGCGAGACGAGGCTAAGAGTTGGGTCAAGGGTTTCGTGGTAAGCTTGGGATCATGCTCGGCCACTATGGCTGAGTTGTGGGCAATATTCCATGGTTTAGATATTGTTTGGAATCTCGGGTACAGGCTTGTTACCGAGAAGGGAATAGAGCTGTGGACTGGCTCTCTAAGTACAGTCTCGTCTACCCTTACGGTATATATGAGCTAGAAACACCTCCTATGGGAGTTCAACAACTGCTCCAAGACGATGACAGAGAGATCATCTTTGAGAGACATATAGTTACTTAGTTAGCAACTCCTCCCTCCTTCTATGCAATCCCCTCCCCCTGGTTGTTGTTTTCTTGGCCTTGTGCCTCCTGGCTCTGGAAAAAAAAAAGCTCCGAACAACACAACCCACCCACACTACCTAATATGTTGAACACCCATATGGCCATTTGTGAAAAGTATAGTATAAGATTTTTCCTAAAAGTAGAAACCACAATTAAAGAGTCCTTGAATATATATTATTTGGAAAAGAGATGAGAAGGACAAACACTTTTTTATAATGTTAAGGACAAATAGCTGAAGTCTGAAAATTATATCAACTTTTAAAGGGCACCAATGATCACATATGAGGTAGTCTTGACTCTTGAGGATACCAACTATCAGTGGCAGAGGCAGGATTTGAAATTACCTCTGTCCTCTTTCCATAATATAAATATATAAATATTAATTAATAATTATTTAATAAATAAAATTAAAACTAATTATATCCAAATAATTCATTCACAAATAAAAAATAACGACTAATAAAATCATTGTTTTCATAAGCAACCACGACAGAATTTCATATTGTGAAAGAAACACAAAAACATTTGTTGTCTACATTGTTAAGTAAATCTCTTTTAATGTCTCACACTAAACAATCATTAGCAAACTGGTCGCCAATTCGACTTCGAAACTTGTTCTTAATATAACTCAAAGCTAAAAATATTCTTCCTGCACTTGCAGTTGCAAATTGGTAGAATCAAAACTAGTGGAATTGATGATGTCGCTGAAAAAATTTAGGATTGTTGGGGAAAAACGAATAGACATAAGGAGAAAAAAGATTTGGTTAGGCCTTTATTGCAATTAAAAGTTCGTTTATAGTATATTAAATTAATTTTATGTCAATTTATGAACAACTAATGAGTTATGTTGTACTGATAAAATACTCTAATACCACCTTAAATTGTTTGTTCCATCATCAATATAAATATATATGAGTATTATTTTCCACTATGAAATTTGCCCCTGTCTCGTGACAAGGGCTAATACCCCTGCCTCCGCCTATGCCAACTACATAATTGAGATCAATCTACTGATATACGCAACTTCTCTATAATAATTTTCCAATAATATACTTAAAATAAATTCATTGTAAAATGATGTAAATAAAGGCTTGTTCCAATAAAATTAATTACTACTGGTCTCGAATTTGGACATTTTAAATTCGAATCGATCAAGTAGCCCCTAGCTAAAAAAAAACTTCTATCACCCTTAAATTAAGCTAAAGTGCAGAGGCATTCTCTCTCGCCCACTTACTTCTCTGCTGCCGCCGAAACGACAATGAACTGTAATTTTATGTTAGTTTTATGCACAGAAAGCACCTGATGTAATGGGTACTTATCCCTGCTCTCAGTGTGCAATTTTGGTAGATCAACAATTAAAGGTTCATAATCTTTAGCTTTAGTGCTTAACTGACTCGAGTAATTGATTACGTGGGCATTGTTAGGAGGGTGTGAAAATGGGATCTGATGTATGGCTAATATCGTTTGTTTTGCAGTCAAAGTGGGTTTCTGCAGAAAGTGGTAATAATTCAGTATTATATAACCCTGAAGCAGTGAAGCATTGTATTCTACTCCAGGAAATTTTTTCTAAGATTCTATATTTGGGTATTTGGAGAAGACGTGGAGTCCATCCATCTCACCTAATTAAGCTGCTGCCTTGTGGTTTGCAGAGTGTAATAGTTCTCTTGCTAACTGCTGTTGTTGCAGTTATGAACATGGAATTAAGGAAATGTAAGACGCCATTGATGATGATGAATAATATGTGATAAACTAACTGCTTGCTATAATTCGAGTTGTTGGAAGAATGTTAATTATGAATTTCATATCATCATGGACACACGTAGTCTCAATCGAAAGCCAACTTACGATCTTGAAACTTGCAAGGCCTCAACGTATATTGTTTTAAGATAAACCATTAATATTGAGGGTTCGTGGAGATACGAACACACAATCATCACTTAAGTCAAACCGGCTCTGATATCATGTTCACAAATAATTTGATCTCAATAAGTCGAGTTGTATTGTTTATACTTTATCCTTATGATCATCACTTGAGTCAAACTTACGATCTCAATAGATTCAGCGAATTCATATTTTCATTAAGGGTTAATACACTTGCATAGCCATAATTATCCACTTTATGACAATAATAGCCAAATTTTGAAAAATACACAGATGTAGCCACATTTTTTAAACTTGTTTGACTAATTTAGCCATTTCCGTTAAGAACATTAACACCGTTAGAAAAATTGTCAATAACATTAAAGAAATGCTTATGTGGATGCCACTCAGCTTCCACATCAGCTCCAACACACCATTTCATGCCACCTTGTCGCCATGTCACATTCAATTTTCAAAATAAAAAAAAAATAAAACTATTTTCACTAAATTTGTTTTGTCCTTCCATCGTATCATCTTCTCCGTGGTATTCATCTCCGTCGCCGCTCAGTTGCTTGAAGTCCGACAAGAAGAAGCGCCAGCGGGACAGATCGTGTTCATTTTCTCCATCATTTTCCCAGCTTATCTTTTCACTATGCTTTCGCAGCTGCTGCTCCTTTATGGATTTCTCAACCATCTTCTCTCTCAACTCTCCGACTAGATCTACACAACAACCACCGCCATCTGCTGAAACACCAGCACTAACAACACTTCTTCATCCTCTTCCTCTCTCAACCGCCATCAGCGTCATCAATGTCATCCTTCATCCTTGCGGCGGATATGAGAGTTGGGTAGGAGAGACAGATATCCTACCTGCAAAACAAGGACAAGGCCGGTGGAGAAGAGAAGAAATAGGGGCAAAGCCGACACTTGAGAACTGAGATTGGGGTTCTTCTTAGGTCGATTGAAAGAGAGAAGGGTTTGGATCTGGGGTTCATTGTCGTTTTGAGCTCTCACAAAACCATTGTCGTCGGTTGCGTCATCCGCCCATCCTCTGCTCTTTTTTCTTATCTCCCCAAACACCTTCCATGTACCTTCGCGTCGGATTTCCACCTCGATCCTTTGATACTTCTGCAAATCTATTGCAAACTCCAAAACCTAGAATCAGTAGATGAAAAAGAATCCAAACCCAGAAACCTACAACGCATATCGAAGAAAACCCCAAAACTCCAATCCTGATTTTTCACCTTCTTCCCCAATGATTGAACTTGAAGAAGAAATCCAGAACTACAATCGGAGAAACCCAAAACTCTAATCGAGGATCTGGAGCCTCTGTTTCTTCGCCGATGGGGAACAAAACCAGAGCAAAAGAGCAGAATGCAGATCGATGAACATGAACTTATAGAGTGCTGCTGGAGAAGAGATCGAGTGGAAGGGCAAAGGGACTGAGAGTCTTCTGATGATTTAGTGAGAGAAAGCAAATGAGTGATGAGAGGCTTTGATTTCAGAAGCCTTAGTTTTGGAGAATGAAGAAGAAAAGGACCAAGGTTAGGGTTACGGAGAAAGTGGCAGAAGAGATAGAGAGGTAGTAGACGAGAGAAAGTGGAGATGGAAAGAATAAGAAGACATATGTATCGTCGATTAAGTTTATCAGCGTAATCCGAGCAAAATGAAAAGAGAAAGACGGTGGACGGTGGACGGTGGACACCGGAGGGAAACGGAGGAGCTGGGTTCCGGCTTGTTGGCGGCAGAGAGATGAAGTCTCGGAGAAAGGAAAAGAAGTCACTCTCTTCCTTCTTTCTTTTCTGTATTTTGTATTTTTCAGTTAATTATAAAAAAGAAAGAACAATTCCAACATGGCAAAGTCCAGATAAAAAGTTGCCACATCAGCAAAAAAATGTTAGTCCAGTCAGCATTATTTATGGTGCCGTTAAAGTTATTAACGGAATGGCTATATATGTGTATTTTTCAAAAATTGGCTATTGTTGTCACAAAGTGCAAATTTGTGACTATGAGAGTGTATTTTGCCTTTCATTAAAAACATTCTTTTTTGTTGCTTTTCATATCATGGATTTTAGTTTTCGAGATTTCAAATCTTATAAAATCTCTAATAAATATAGAGATTCGATATCTTGATTTATGATATATTGTTTATCCTTCTTATCATTTCCTTTTCTATTTATCCCTATAAATATCCATATCAATAAATTATCAATAATTCTCGGGCCACTCTGGTTATTTTGATTAAGGAAAAACACGTCATTTAATATATTATTAGAATTCATATTTCCATTGAATGTTAACAATAATATTTACCAAATAATGAAAATTTTAATTTTTTTCCAACAATCCATAGAGTTAAATTCTTTAGATTGTTTAAAATCTAGAGATTTAGACTCCAATCCTCCAAAAGATCCCGAAGTGTTATGAGATTATCCACGTCAATGATATTTGGTGTTCTTCTAGCCAGATGATTTGTGATACGAACGAGCATGTTAACAATTGGTTATCATCATTATGGGGGTGTCGTATCTATACAATGGGGAGCTAGTCATTGTTTCGAGGAGTCTTCCTCGAGCTACTTTTTAAGGTTATTCTGAGGTGGTGATCCGACACCTCTGTTTTGGCCTGGCAGTGTATTCACTAAGAGGCCCCTCCTGTTCCAAGAGTGTCATTAAATGATTTCCATCGATTTATGGATGGAATCTAGTGAGAAACCTGTACGTACGAAATCCACTCTTTCTAGTGTAAACTGAATGTAAATTGGATGTGAACGTAGCTTGCCTCTCTTTATTGAAAGTTGTCCTTACGATAGTTCCGCGAACTGGGCTGCCTATATAATAGAGTGGCATGTAAAGTCCTATTTCTCTCTCCTCCAAAGTTAGTTTTCTTTGATTTTGTAGGTTGGGTGTACTAATGTGTAAGTTTGGGAGGGTTCCTAGAATGAAGGTTTCGTATTCAGTTATTTCTAACTTTTATTTTATTATCTCTTGGACAAAAGAATGAAATAGAATTACACTAATGGAGCACTTGCAAATGAACAAGCTTGCATCTCAAAATTTCATTGAGGAGGAGTCAAGCCAGGTGAGAAAATAAATAATAATTTTTTTTACTATCTTCTTATGAATTTTTATTCACTTTTTTATTCAAAAAAATTAGATGGTAATTGCATTGCACATGTGTAATAATAATAATAAACATGAATACAATTGCAGAAATATTAAGCTGACAAAGAACCACCACCTATGAAAATGATTTCGGTAATTACACTGATGTGAATGGACTATTAACCGTAATAAGGTCATAACTCATAAACAAAAACAAGTGGGCTTGCTTATGCACTGATCCGCAGCCCCTTCTCCAATTTGTTTGTTGTTTTTTTTACTTGTTCAGCCACCCTAATTATTAATTGAATCATCAAACATTCCCAAATCCCAATTAGTTGACCACACGTGTTACAAAATCGCACAAGCTGAGGTGGTGACCTGCTGGCAATTGTATAAACATTATAATTATTATTTAATTAACGACGTGTAAATTCAAAAGAACAGAGTTAAAATTCAAACTAAAATGTACACAGGCTGCCTGCCGTGAGAGTTTATAAAAGCAGGGGACCGATTGCAGAGCTTGAGCAGTAACCAACTAGAAAAAAAAAAAAAAATCACGCAGCAAGTTCGAGCAAAGTCCATTTTGCCTGCATTCTTTTCTGCTTCCATCCAAAAGGTAAGCTTTCTCTGATTCTCTCTCATTTTGATCGCTTCTTGCTCTTCATTCTGCCTGCATTTCCCCCTCCCTTCACTGGGTTGCTCTGTTTTCCTAAGATTTCCTCTTCCACTTTCCTCTGTGTCTATGTACTCTGTTTTTTTCTTACCAGTAGTTAAAACGATTTTGGCACGAGCTTGATTAGCGATTTAGTCTTCACATGGGTGAATCGCGGGTAGTTCATCGCATATATGCATTCCGCCGGCGACTGGCTCTGTTCTGCGTTAGAAGGTGTTTGGTTCCCTCGCCTCTTTCCATCTTTTCATTTCAGCATTGGAGTTTCTAACAGAGAGGAAAAGGGTTCTTCCTTCCACCCTACCGAAATAGCTGGCAAATTTTGACCTGCCAATTTCTTTTTTGAAATCTCGCCGGCCGCTTTGTTTGGTTGCTCGCGAAAAAAAATACATCACCGCCGTTCTCTCTGCAACTGGGGAGGAGAAGAAGGATCAAGTTTTTCTTTTTTCCTCATCGCTAACAGCCTTCAGTGGTCCCTCGATCACACGCTCCAAAAAAGTTTTTATTTTTTATTTTCCGCCAAACTTTCACTATCCACACGAACATCAAGTTATGATACCTAATCCTACCCACAACTTTCTGGCGAGATGTTTCCGTTTCGTTCATTGCAGTTCTGTATGGGCTTTACAGGGTATGGTGTGATTTGGTTTCCGATTCACTAGTTAGGAGGAACGTTTCGTCCGACGGTATCAATCAAATCGATTCTGATTACGACTTATAAGTGACAACTGATTTCTTGACAATACCTCAAAAAGGATAGAATACAAAACAAATAATAGTACAAGAGTAAAATACTCTGACTCAAACAGTAGCCAGATGGTTGTGATTTGTCGAAATGTTGAAGGGAAATGTAATAAGTGTGAACGCATACATATTTGACACGTGGCGTCTCTCTATTCATAGTTTTGATAGTTAGTTGGATTTAGCCGTTAAGCTACAGTAGCTTACTTTACTCTGTAATTAGTCCCCTATATATATACTGATCAATGGAAAATGGAGAAGGCAATCTGCCGATTCCCACATAAATGGCTTCTCTTCTTCTCTGAAACCGTAGCACTTCCACCTAGAGGTGACAATTCTCAATCCAATCCACCAATCCATTAAAAATATCCACCTAATTCAATCCATTTAAATCCAATCCATTTGATCCAAATTCAATTGGATTGGTGGATTGATCCAAATGGCAAATTACGGTTTGGTACCTATAATTTTCATATTTTACATTTTGGTACCTAAAATTTAATTTTTTACACGAAAAATATCATTGGAAAATTACGTTTTGGTACCTAAAATTTTTCATTGTGATATTTTAGTACCTAAACTTTTCACATTTTACATATTGGTCCTTGGTTGAGGATGTCATTTGGATTCATGGACCATCCACCAATCCACTTGATCCAATCCATGAATCCACCAATCCATTTGATCCATGGATCCACCAATCCATGGATCCAATCCATTTGCCACCTCTACCTCCGCCGCTAGGTTATAAACATTCTCAACTAAGCATTTTCATGGTTTACTAGCTATTTTGTGGAAAGTGCTTCCTCATAGCAACTTGCTTATAACTTTATCAACCTTGTGACACACTTTTGACTTTGATTTAACATACATATAGCTGGTTTTTTCGTTGCTCTGACTTTTCTTCTCAAATGTACATACTTTGTCAAAAATAGATGATAAGAACAAATTGTTGTTCTCCTTAAGGAGGAGAAAGAGAAAGCCAAAACCACAAGATGGAAGTACTTGTGAGCTTATCTAACAATATTTTCGGGTATTAGGCTTGAGAAGAGATTTTAGTTTTAAAGTTTTGGTTGGATGTTAATGGATTACTTCGAACGAACAATCGTCTAAAAGAAATGAACAAATTCTAAGATTTATTATTTTTTGCTTTATTGGAGGAGACTTCATTTATAGACAGCAACCACCTCAATTTAGGGTGCTATTATTTATGTGACTTTTGAGACACTTGTTAGTTAGGTGGGCTTTCTGCTCGTAACCTCCTCTGGGCCTTTATGATTCTATCGATAGGTTTGATCCCCTGAATCGGCCCAGACAGAAGATCCATTATTCAATTATTATTATCGCCCTCTTTTTTGGACCAACTCCCCCACCACAAAGCATGGGGTTAAGAAAATCACACGAGCTGAGCTGGACATGCTGGCAATTACTGTAATTGTTATTTTATTGCTTACCAGACGTAAGAAAACAGAACAAAAGAATAAACAAAGAACCCAGAAAACCAAAGGCACGAAACAAACAAACAAAACAAAAATGGAGTACAGAAAGGGAGGAGGAGTTGGTTGAGGACAGCTGCCTTGTGCATATAAATTGCAGGGTGCAGCGGCTGCGGAGAGCGATCCAAGTGGATTCGGAGAAAGAGAGAGAGAGAGAGGTAAAGAGCGAGAAGGCGCCGAGGCGATAAACTATACATTACGCACGCGACGCTAGCGAACAAGCGAGAGTGAGCGAGTGTGCGAGAGCGAGAGGCTCTTCTTGCTTATGAGATCCTACATATCAGCATCAATCTTCTTCGCCACCTTTGTGTTTCTTTTGCTTGATATCCAAATCCACAAATTCGTCCTCACCACAGGTCAGTGAGCTTTCTTTCTCGCTTCGCTAGCTCTCTTTTAGATTGTTTCTTGCTCTTCATTCTGCACTGGGCTCGATCTGCTCTGTTTTACGGAGGGGAAGTGCTCTGTTTTCTTGCACCCGACTTTTACTTTTCTGTGAATCAGTAGGTAAAATGATTTTGGTATTCTCTTTTCGCGACCCATTATGGGTCCAGCATTGATTCGATGACCGAGAAGGGTTCCATCTTGTTTCTTGGTAATTCGGAAATTGGATTTTCTTACCGCCTTGTTTGGTTGCTGGGAAAAAAAGGGTAAACACCGCTTATATGGATAAAAGCTAATTAGAATTTAGAAGACAGCCCTCTGTCATGAATGCAACTTGGATGGATCTGTTTTATTTTTTCTTGCTTCCGGTGGTCCCTCATCACAAAAAGTCTTTGATTTTAATCACCTTCTCCATTTTTCTCATACCCCCAAAGATTTAATTATCCATGACTGATCAAGTTGTGGTACGGAAGGAGGAGAACTCTTTCTGGGCAAAAAAGTTTCTGATTTTGACACTACCCTTTTGTGCTATGATCAAAAAGTTGCCATAGGTTCAGCTGTTCGTTAGTTCAATTCATTTCATTCGTTCGTTCCAATTTTGTTTCAGTTCCTGGCCTCCGGGGATCTGGTTTCTGATTCGCTGTGGGTTTAGTGGGGAACGTTACATCAGTAGGACAACAGGATGGTTGAACTCGCAATCACCCTGACGTTTTGACAGCTTGATATGTCTTGATCTCTTGACAATCCCACAAACCATATTTTAATGCATATATATGCTCTATTTATTTAGTTTCTATAAGCTACGGTTGAGATTGTTTCCTCTAGCTATTAGTGATAAGCTATGTTACTTTGACTTGATTAACATATAGTGGACTTTTATTTTTCGAGATAAATAATGCTTGAGCCGAATTTGCTTACGTAGGGTGTGCTGCTATTAGGGAAATTCATTTAACTTCAGGGTTTTGGAGCCTTTGTGCAGTATTTATCTTCTTAGTTCTTGTGCTGATGCTTGTGAATATCCTCCACACCTTACACAACAAAGCTGTCTTCTTTGTTAGACAATTGTACAAGTTGATGAGGATGTGAAAAATGGTAGCTTGGTCCAGTGAGAACTGTAGGCTTAAGTTGATGTGGCCGGATGGAGATAACAATTATGTTTGCCAATAGTTCAGGCAAGATGACCAACCATTAGTTGGCTTTCTTTTCTTAGATTCCTTTTCTGGGTTTAAATCAACAATATGACCAAAAGTCATAATCTGTCGATTATCTGAACCCTGTAGTAAACCAACCGACCCTTTGAGATGGCTCCATTGATCTTAATGACAATTCACTTAAGTGGTGATTGTGAGATTGCCAATTTGAAAGGCTGAGCCGTTTTCACGTGTTTAATTTTCTTCTTTTGACTGTAGATTGAACCCATGTAAATACTATGCATTAAAAATGCAGGTTATGGTGAGATTTCTCTATCTTGTAGGGGGGGGGGGGGGGGGGGGGGGGGTGGGGGGGGGGGATTAAATATCCATGATCAAGTTGTGGTAGGGAAAACAGTTCTGATCTTGACATTGTCCTTTAATCCATGATCAACTTGTCATAGGTTCGGATTTTCATACCTTCATTTGTTCGTTCGTTCCTATCTTGTTTGTTTCCATGTATGCGGATCTGGTTTCTGATTCGCTATTGATTAATTTAGTGCTAGCGTTTCATCAGCAAAACCACAGGATGATTGACAATCCATATTATAATCTCTGCTCTATTAATTTAGTCTCTATGTCCTTATAACCAACGGCCGATATTATAGCTCTAGGAATGACTGATGGAACTTTGATGTAATTAACATATAGCTTAACTTTCACCTTCTGGACTTTTCTTTTCAAAATAAATAACTCAATTTCAGCCAAATCTGCTTACGTTGGTGTATTGCTAGTAGAGGTATTTCATTAAGCATTAAGAGGATTTTGGAAGCTTGTGCAACATTTTCTTCCTAGTTTTTGTACTGATGCTTCTGAATATCCTCCGGAATTTTTATTTAATGCAAGTTGCTGTGGATGGTGCAATGGTAGCTTTGGTCCAGTAAAACTGTGGTTTAAGTTGATTGGCTGGATGGAATTAATAATTATGGTTGCCAATAGTTCAGGTCAGGCAGAACCAGCCATTAGTTAGCTTCCTTTCTTGGATTCCTTTTGGGCTTGGTTGTATTAAATGAAAGGCTGTGTTCTTGGTTTAAACAGGAGCATGAAAAATATCCACAAATGTCTCTGTAGTAAACCAATCTATCCAAGTGGTACTGTTAAGATGTCCAATTTTAAGGGTTTAGCCCCTTTCCCTTTCATTCTTTTGGCTGTGGATCGAGCCCCATAAAACAGTATTTACTTTGCTTTTGGAAAAAAGAAAGCGAGTGTCTTAAAGTATACTGTATAGTTACTGTGTTTTTCTCCCTGATTTGCTGAATCCAAGATGAGCTGTTTTCAACCTTCATCATGCTGGATTTCCTGTTGTGGAGTTCAAGGTGAAGTTCATATGTTATGATGTAGTGAAACTACATTAGCTTCTTGGAATGTATGAATCAAGGGGCTCATGATTTCTAGATTAGAAAAATATACCACCAGCAAGTTAACTATTGGTGACGAGTTATCAATTTCAGCTGTATCCAATGCTGCTTCTCTCTTTGCAGGCCCATTGTCCACTGAGACCCTTTTGCATGAGCCTACTTTGATGGGTTGCTTCCAGTCGAAGACGAATAAAGACACACCCGGTTACGAAGAGCCCATTATTCTTGCCGCTGAAACACCTTGTAAGTGGAAAATTTAATCTATTTGCTACTTGGGGACTCCAGCCACATCCTGATCTTAGATTTTTAGTTAGATCCTGGAAAATATGGCCAATTCATGTAGGAAAGTGAAGGATTAATATATGAAATTTATTTGCTTGCAGTTACTGTAAGTGAAGTAGAGGCATTGTATCAGCTCTTCAAGAAGCTAAGCAGTTCGATAATTGATGATGGTCTGATCCACAAGGTAAGGAAGATGGTTTCATATGCTGTGCATGCTCATTTGTGAGACTTTCCTGCTAGTACATAATATGGTTAAATGGATAGTAGCATCTCAAACAGTTCATCCCTTTCCCTGACCAGGAAGAGTTTCAGTTTGCACTCTTCAGGAACAGAAACAAAAGAAATCTTTTTGCAGACAGGGTATGCTGCTTCAATACCCTTTCTTTTTCTGATCTCAAGATGATCAATTAGTGTTATATTATTAAAATCTTTCACCTTGTACAATGATGTGTTTTCTTTCTTTCTGAGTTCTTTTCTTTTGTATCTTTTAGGTGTTTGATTTATTTGATGTCAAGCGCAATGGTGTAATTGAGTTTGGAGAGTTTGTTCGATCTCTTGGTGTTTTCCATCCAGATGCACCAGTTGAAGACAAGATTTCTTGTAAGTCTTACTTCTGTCTAGCTAGGAGAATATCTTGGTATGCACCCTTTACAAGACAGAAACCATTTAGAGAATATATATGCCATTTCGTTTGTTACCTTCTAAGTGGAAGAGGTCCTTTTCTGCAGTTGCTTTCAGGTTATATGATCTCAGACAAACCGGCTTCATCGAGCGAGAAGAGGTCAGCACTTAACTGTTAAATTTTTTCCTCGACCATATCTTGTGTCTTCAGTAGGAAGTTACTTTCGTCGCTTATTGTTAACTGCAATCCTGTAATCAATTGACAGCTGAAGGAGATGGTTTTAGCACTTCTGCATGAATCAAACCTGATGCTATCGGATGAGGAAGTGGAAATAATCGTAGATAAGGTAAAACAAGGAAAATTAAAGCCCTCTTGACCATTGTTTTTTCGATCTTATTCCGTTTGGTCCAAAAGCTGACATGTTTGTTCCCTGGCAACTGACCACAGACGTTTGAAGACGCCGACTCGAAAAGCGACGGTAGAATAGACACAGAAGAATGGAAGCAATTTGTGAAGAAGAATCCATCTCTTATAAAGAACATGACATTACCATACTTAAAGTGAGTTGATATTAGTCTCAGGAAAAAAGAAACATTCATGGGCACAGAATGCTCTCTTGGTGCAGTATCTTCGATGTGATCACTCATGTTATTGAATGTTGTGGTGCAGAGATATAACGTTGGCGTTTCCTAGCTTTATACTAAGTTCTGAAGTTGAAGATTCAGATGTATAGCCCTTAAATCAGCCCCACACCGAGACGGTAATGTTTATGGCTAGTTTCCATCATCAGCACGCAGCACTCCTGGATCGAAAGCAGTTAGTGGAGATGACAAGAGAGTCTTGCACACCAAGAACTTGCTGTTTTGCTGTGTTCATGGTGCAAATGCCTCTATTATGATTCAAGGTTGGGGGGTGAAAGAGGGTGCAATACCAGTGTGTAATTGTAAATATAGCATGTTTTCTGGGGGATATTAGTGTTATGTTCCACTTATGGCAATTTTGTTGTATAGTAGCTGTGCCGATAGTATGATATTCCCTGAGTTGCTGATGCTATATATTTGTAGGTTTGCTTCTTGGTGTTACTTTGCTTCTTGCTGCATCAATCATCCCAATTTTTGGACTCAACCAAAAAGATTGTTCTTACTGAATGCTATTCATTTTCTGTTTTTCGTCCTTACGGCGAGACATTTCTCAGAATGCCAAACATGAATCTGGACTGTACAATTTGTGCTCTGTATGATTCAAGCCTGGCTAGGAAGTCTCCCACAATAATGCAAGAGCTCTTTTCGTCGAAAGAAATAGTACAACAATTCTTTTTGTTATCGTTCTTGAAATTCGTTGTCTTCTCCATGTAAACACCATATTGTAGAACTTTAATTCATAAATAGTTATGCAGATTAGATTCATGAGCAATAGTGACGATATTTATGCTTCCAATTAACAAATTATTATCTTGACGAACCATTGCTAGCAGTTGACATACAAAAAAAAACAAAAAAAACAAAATTTCGTAGTATAGGGACATGTTTTTATGAAGTATATAATTTGAGGACTAAAACGTAATACAATCCTTCTCTGAAAAGTCGAAACAATTCAGTGGGGGGTGTTTGTGGATGAGCCAAAAGTAGAGGAGCCAAAAGGTCATTAAACCTTTTGAAATTGAAGACCCATTGCTCTCGTCGTCGTTGTTGAAGTCCGGCAGTCGGGCTTTGGGTCCGAATCAGCATCTCATTAGCTTATAGCTATTCCAAAGCTTCTTCTTTTGTTTTCTCTTTTCATCAGTAAGGTGAGCGGCGGCCGAAGGTGAAGGAATTGTTAGTCAAAGCTTGCAATTGGTTGTCGTTAATCACAGAGGGCTGAGGAGAGTGCCGCGGCGGTGAAGAATTTGTTTCGTCGAAGTTCACCACCGCCTGTACGTTTATTCTATTTACTTGCTCTCTTTTTTTTCCTCTCTTGTTCAAATGGCGCATTGGGTTGTAGGGTTACAGTCCCAATTAATTTCTCTCCGGCCATATCTATCCGTCTAAGCTTCAGCGATTTCCCTTTCAGCATCTTTCTGGGTTTGTTTTGGCTCAATCCACATAGTGATTGCTGTAGAAGAATCAAGTCGTGGGTGGTGGCTGGTGCTGCTGTTTGTAGTCATTTGGCCAATAGTTGTTTAACGTTCTGCCCCTCACAGTTTCAGTCAGTACTTTTTCGAGAATTCAGATGGATTGTTTCTTGCCCAATTTGGATTTTTGGTGGAGTTGTAAATGGTAGTTAGTTTTGGACTAGGCTACCAAAGGAATGATTGGTAGCATGAAAGGGTTTCAGTAGGATAAGTGGAATGTTGGACCAATTGATTATGGGAGGAGAGATGGGGTAGAGAGTTGAAGGGACTCTGTTGATAAAGTCGATTCATTTACATAAAGAAAAACTTCTTACTTGTCTACTCTAGTGATCCAATTGATTTGCTTATGATGACAATAACTGCAAGCTCACCTGGGATGCCTTATGCATAGCTACTTCTTTCTCATTTCGATCATGACCACTGTTATCTAGACATCAATGGTTTTAGCTGATGCTATAGATGCTTGGTGGAGAACTACAAATGGTTATTCTTTCCCGAAAATTTGTTTTTCGTTTGAATGCATCATAACTAGAACATATTCTTGTCTACATCGAATGTTCCATATGACATATTAGCTGCTACAAGTAACATAATGCTTTTCTATTTTCTTCCTTGAGAGTTGGATGATTTTGTTTCTCTTTTCCTGATTGCTGAGTTGCCTGCGGTGATCTCATTTCTCAGGAGGATCTCTGAAAGATGCAGACATTGGGTGATTTTAAGCTCCCCCAGTTTTTCAACTATCCACCATACTTCACGTAAGTGTCGGCCTTTTCCATTCACTTATTCTTGCTGTATTCTACTAAGGATGGCTCCATTTACTCCATCTAGTCTGCATTCGTAATGTCTGCTAACTCCCTGTAGATAAGAACATAATACAGTTGCATGTCGAGGAGTTGCATAGTCGGTTGGGTTACTAAACATGGGCAGTAGATGTATTTCCATTATGAATGATAATCACAACGACATTGAAAGCCTCATTGGTCATTAAGAATGTAGTATACATACAGGCTAATATATTTTGAACTGGCTAAGGAGAGTAGTAAATTAAATGTTTGTCTGCTGTTCTTCTATGGGCAGAGCAGTTACACTGTTATCACCCTAGTTCTTATGCTGACATATTATGGCATCCCCTTGCCTTCAGTCTGAAGAAGTTTGGGTAGAAAAACTTGTGGAGAACAGCATGTATTTAATAGTTTGGGTATAAGAAAACTAGTTCTTGTGTAAGTTCATACTATGGCCTACAATTGATTCTCTAACAGATGAAGAACATTGGGTCTTCTAATGACCACTTGTTATAGATACCTTGTTCCTTTCTGGCGGAAAAAATAAAAAATAAACATGTGTTCCTTCTCCTATCCCTCCAATCAATTGTTCCTTTTCTTTTCACCTTCATGATTCTAGTTCAGGTTTCAATGAGATTGCATAGTCTATTTTCTTTTTCCTTCTTTTCTTCTATTGTTTTTCACATCATGGTTTTTATCATGAAGTTTGCAACCAGTAAGAGACACTCGAGACAAGCAGATTCAGCTCTGGAAGGAACTTATCCTTGACTACTGTAGAACCCAGAAGATATTTGTAATTGGATTAGAAGAAGAATTCCCTCTGTTTGCAAATCCTGCAATTGAAAGTAAGTGTTGTTCACTTGGGCAGTTTATATTTTGCTATTTGATTATATTGAACTATGAAGATTGAAATTACTACGTTGAGGAATTATGAACTTTACATCCCAGTGGTTTGACACTTCTTGATTCTGATATGATAATAAGGGTTGGGTAATTTTTGTGTTTTTTTTTTCTTTTATGTTTTTATCTAATTCTTGGTCTGGTATTGACTGGCAAAGATGCTCTGGGTACTAAATCTTGGGTCCTTTGTTAACTTTTGAAATTTGGATTCGTGCTGGCTGATATGCAATGGTAAATCATAGTCGTTGCATCTATTGTAGTGGCTTTTTGCTGGTTGCTTTGTTCCTTTAAATCATTGTTTGACACATTTGTCCAATTTGCTGTAATATTTTCCTTCCTATTGTTTCCTCTTCCTTTTTGTGCAAATTAGTTTTAGTCAAATTGTAAGGCTTGTGTTAACCTGCAGGATCTCTAAGTCATGAAGCGAGGGAGGCATTTCTTTCGGCATTGGTATCAGAAGTTTAGTACTTTTCGCTTACCCTAATTCTTTATTGTTTTCCTGCACTTGGTTTCCTTCCTTTTACTTACTATCTGTATGCCAATGAAGTATCTATCCTCAACTATGGTTTGACAGGCAGAGTGTCTCAATGTATTGGTTTTACTCAAAACAGGTCGTGCCGAATGGTTAGATAAAGGACATAAGAAATGTCTTCTTCTCTGGCATCGTATTCAAGATTGGGCAGATATTATCTTAAATTTTGTAAGCCAATCATGACTTCCATAGTAGCTATACACTCGCTTGATCTCAGTAGTTCTTTTCTTTCTCAACTGATATACCTGAAAAAAAATTATCAGGTCAGAGAAAACGGCTTGGAGGATGGTGTTACAACCATCGAAGAGATGAGGTCTGGGATTGAATCACGAGGAACAGGTAACTTCAGTGTAGCGATAAGAAGTATCCCACTGCATATACATCCAATCAACATAGCTAAGTGATAATGTGAACAGAAAGGGTGCATAAATCATTCCCGGGTTGTTCCTGTGTACATAAGCTCCACCTTATAATTTGGTTCCCCTATAACATATCTGTGAACTGATGGAAAAGTTTATTTGCCTATATATTAGAGCTTCACGGGATTGATCGAACAATTCTGATGCGAGCACTGAAGCTGTTGGAGAACAAAGGAAAACTAGCAATCTTTAAGGGAACTTCGACTGATGACGAAGGTGTTAAATTCTCTGTCTAGCATCTCAGTCTGTAGTTGTAAGTTTGAAGGGATGTTGTTCTTGGTAGATTGGTCTTGTTGGTGATTCAGTACAAAGACCATTGATCATGAATAATTTCATTGAGTTCATGATTGTCAGTTTAAAGCTGAAATCCACAAGTTCCAGATATTTCATTAATCTCATTTACTTGTCAAATGGAGTAGGTTGATGTGCTATGTTGTTTGATGCTTGTAACCCAAGCTTTAGTTGATGCATGACACTTTTTTGCATCATGAGTACTTTTTCGTTTTATCAAACTTATTCCCAATAGGGAACCACTAGATACAAATTGGAAGTCTTTTCAGGCAACCATATATATATATATATATATATATATATATAAACAAGGATGTCAACCCGCGGATTGACCCGACCCGGTGAGAAAAACGGGCCGCATGCACCCGCCGGGTCGACCGCTACAAGGTACCGGGTTGGAGGTCAAATTGTGTCATTTTTTTCTTTGTTTTGCGAAATGCGCCTATTTTCCGATTTATCTTTTCGCCTAACTCAATCTTTGGAATCCTAAGTTGAACATTTGAATATTAATGTTATATAATATAAGTGTGTGTGAATTTTCACTATATGTTGAATTTAAGTACGAAATGTTATTTTGGTGTAATATTATATGTTATAACTCATATGTTAGATGAGATTGGATATAATTTATCAGGATAAGTACAATATAATGACGTTTTTCATATTTCCGGGCTAAACCGGGTGACCCATTAACCCTTGACCCACTAGCTCAACCAGGTCAACCCGCGGGTTGACAACCTTGTATATAAGAGAAAGGACAATGGTCGACACATAGTCAAACCATCGATAACAAAACTTTTTTCGTGATGCAACGAGCAACTCTTTGATACCCGTATGGCATGACAGTATCCATGACTTCAACTTATATTGGTGAAAATCATGGCATGAACCATGCTAAAAGTGAAGTAGAAAAGCAAAGGGTTAATACTTTAATTTGGCCCGAACTATAGACAAACTTTCTACATTGGCCTGTGGTATCGGAAATTGTTATCCTAGCCTAAACTATGTAGCATACTTTCTTATTTGGCCCGGAGGCGGGTTTGACCGTTAAATTGGACGGTCAACCGAGTTGACCGTTAGTCAAGGTCCACCTCACTTGCCACGTCAGCTATCAGGGAATAAAAAAGTAATTTTTTAATTTTGAATTTTTTGAATTTTGTTTATTTTCTAACAGTAAAAATAATAAAAGAAAAAAATTAATTAAAAGAGCTCTCCAAATGATTTTTAATTAATTTTAGAAATTCAAAAAAATTGAAAAAATTAAATTTTTTTCCTGATAGCTGACGTGGTAAGTGAGGTGGACTTTGGCTAACGGTAAACTCGGTTGACCATCTAATTTGACGGTCAAACCCACCTCCGGGCCAAATAAGAAAGTATGCTACATAGTTTAGGCCATAATAGCAATTTCCGATACCACGGGCCAAA